AGCTCCACCAGGAGCTGAAAGAAATGAAGTCCCTCGTAGGAGGGAGACGAGGGAGCAACAGCGGCTCCTTGTCCAGACCGTCCAAATGGGCATGGTCTGATAACTCGAGGGCGTCAGAAGACGCCTGCAACAATTGCGCCCATTGGAGGCGCGAATACAACAGAGCACAAAGAGATGCTGAGGGCATCTTCGACTCTGAAAGACACAGAGAGAGAGGTCGATCTCCAAAAGAGGGAGATCAAATTACTAAAACGCGAGCTCAGAGAGGCACGCGCACTGGCAGACCTCACTGCCAAACCCATCATGATGGGGGCCTCCCAGGTCAGGGGGAGGGGATACGGTGCCAGGGCACCGACTATCCCGCCACCCTGTGGGCAGGCGACCCTGTCCGGGTTGCATAAGGGCAAACCCATGTCAAGGGGAAGAGGGAGAGCGGTAGGCAACCAACGGCAGACCCTAAAACAGGGACCACTGCCAGAGGCAGCGGGCTGCTGAGTACCTCAGCACCCTATGGGCAAGCTACCCTGCAGGGAAGTGTCCACATGTTATACAAGACCACCAAACTCAACGAGTTCGGCAAAGTCAAAGCTCCAGTCAATGTAACAATCGACCCCAACTTCCCCATGAGGAGAATAGCAGGGTCAGAAGCGGTGCACGATGCCACATACGCTTGGTGGACAAGTGTGAGTGGGAAAGAATTCGTACACTGGTACGAACAGGCTGAAGCTGCCTTCAAAAGTGGCAAGGTACATAGAGTCCTTCACGAAAAAGCTGTTAGACACTGGTCCAGGGTCGGCACCGAAGGTCGCCGTTGCAGGCCGTGATGGCCATGATGCCACGAACAAGGCCCGAGGGTAGGGCATTTGGCCTCAGCAACTCTAAAGGGAGTGCTGTGCCCCCTAGCTGTCTCTTGGCCCTCATTTCAGACTCACTGGGGTTGCCTTGTTGGGGTCAGGACTTAGGGGTCATGGTCACATCGATATTAGAGCTAAGGTACAATAAAGTATCATACAGGATATATATAGGAGGAAAGAATGAATGGAAGCGGACCTGGGCCAAAGGCTGAAGGGTCCAGAAGCAAACAAGAGTAAGGAGCGGGGTTGGCCGCATAGCGGCCGGCAATGACCGAGGGTCAAAACAAACAATAACAGATAAATAAAGGAAGGAGCGTAGGGCCGCGATAGCGGTGATGGTATCATAGCGGCGCTGGACTTGGAGTTGGGCCGGAGTCGGGTGTGGGAATGGTAGCGGCCCTGTAGGGGCCAAGTGGGTGGGGTAGAGGAGTCGGCGATGGGCACAGTGCTGGAGGCAGACTCAGGGTGGGAAGGTTGGTGTGGCTGTGGGGAAGTCGGCCAGGTGCAGGGGAGCCTAGGGGCAAGTGGGGGAGTGAGCAGGGAGTCCTCATGGAGGATAGGGCTGGGGTCGGGGCTTGTGCTCATGCTCACATAGCGGGAATGGGCTCGGGCGGCATTGGGATGGGCCGGGAACGGGCCGGAATGCACGGCCGTGACAAAAGCGAAGGAAACTGAGAAATACTTCTTGGGACTCCCGAGTATTGCAAGACTCGCAGAGGAGTACAATTCCCCAGAGAACAAGGGAAAAATCTCCTGGGAAAGTCTAGGCAAAGCTGCCTATATAAAGTCCCAGTTCAAACCACTCAGGACTCCTGAGGAACATGCCGCAAGAACTGCAGAGCGGGAAGCGAAAGCTTCCAAATACCAGGAAAGAGATGCAAGTCTCTGTGCGGGACAACCAGGCCAACAACCACCCTTCCCCATGGGAAGAATGGTAGACCTACTGTACTCCACACCTGAGCCAAGTAGCTCAGGAACACAACAACCTGCTCCCACCCAGGGAGCACCCACTTCATCAAGCCCACAGCTCAACAATGTAGCCCAGGCCACACCATCGCATTCAATGCAGCAATCAGATGTCCAGATGAACAACCCGGAGGAAAACCCTCCTCCGGGGCAATAACTCCACCCTTGAGGAAAGGGAAAGTGACATGGTAATACACCATCGAGGTGCCCGTGAAAACACCTTCCCCCAACTCGAGGCCCCGCACACAATATTGTATGTGAGGAACTGCAAGTAACAATTGCGGAAATCTCTACTTTGTCAAAAAACCCACATCCACCACTGCTCATGTGTAAACACCATTTACACACGAACCCTCACAGAACAAGTGAGGAACACCAAAGACATACAACCTTTGGGTCGAAATTCATTTTCGACAAACTCCATTACTTTCCTCTCTGCGATACCCATGTATCGCCGTTCACTTCAAAGTGACAGCCCACACTCACTTATTCCCTAAACCTTTTTCTCTCTCCTTCACTGACATGTACAAATCACCCACTTTAAAGTGGCGACAATAAAACGCTCATTGATAATTTCAAACTCAATGTAAATCAATTCTTAAACTTTATTTTCTTCACCATTAACCTTGTATGCATTGCAAATGCAATGCAAGGGGGGAGAATGTCAGGGAAATGGCCCCAAACCCCAAGCCACATGTAATTAAGATACATATAGTCATGTGGGTAAGCGGGAACCTCCGGGTAACTGCTGACACACTACCATAAAATACACACCCTTGTATCACTTATGGCTCTGTGTGCTGAGCTACCCTGAGACCTCACAGTAGGGCAGGGCAGCGCTGGGTCAGGCAGGGTGTGCCCTGACAGTTCGACAAGCCAACTCTCGAATTTTTCAAGATTGTTCTCCCCAGACCATAGGGTTGTGGGGAATGGAACAGAGTTTTTCTTTAATAACTCTGTTTTTACATCAGCAGGAAGAGGGGTCAGGATCCTTATCCTGATCAGGTTCGCGATTCGGCGAACCAGCTCCTCCATGAATCCCTCAGGGTCACCGGGGGACAAACTACTTGGGTCCCTAGAATAAGACCTGAGAGTGGATTCAACGAATCCATCGTGGGGGATAGTTGAGCTCACCACCCGAGGGTGGACAGAGCTTGCAACATGTGGAACTTGGGAGCTAGGCTACCTTTCCCTCTTTACTGGGGAAACCACAATGGGATGTGAAGCCCCTCCAAGAGGATCTTGGAGGGTGTGGATGGTTGGCTGTGGGGTTGAGACTTCTTGTCTCGATGCCCTGAGAGGAATTTGTTGGGCATCCACCCAACTGGGCCAATCTTGGCCTAATCTTTCAAAGGCCCCACTTTGTGGGTCCTGCACGGTAAATCGACCATAGAAACCTAGCCTACATCTGATCTCCCAGGCATGATCGTCCAGACCTTCAGGTCTGTGCATGTAGACAGCATCGCCATCCATCCGTGTCCCATACTCCACGGACATCTCACTAAGTGCATGGGGAGCAAAGATAGTTCTTTGCTTTTTCTTTATTTTGCCCCATGCATTCATGATGAGGGCAGGCCCGGAACCGTGACATAGGTTCTGGGTCAATCGCGGATCGCGATCAGTCTCCCCTTCGTCCATCAAATTTTCCAAAATGATGGGCACTTCAGGTGCAGGAAGTGACTGAGGAAGTGGCTGTGTCCTCCTGAGGACAACAGGCAGGCCCTGAGGGCCCCAATCAACACTCTTTCCCTTCAGATAAGAAGGGATTCTCTTTGGCAATGGGGTCGAAGGACTCCCAGGCGCAGGTTCATCAGCATGAGGGACATATGTCGTCATCCTCACACTGGGATGCCCAGGCACAGGGAGGTAGGTGGTCATCCTGATGTAGTCTTCGTCAGCAGAGACTTTGTCTGCCAGTGAGTTTCGTCGCTGGATGGGTTCTCTGTCCCATCCCCTGACTGGTATGGGTGGAGGCACACTTGTCACCTCAAACTGGGGTGAGTTTAGAGGAATTTGGCTTCCAGCCAATCCAGGGCTAGGGCGATAAATCCAAGCCCATAAGCCTCATCATGGCGAGTCAGCTGTCGATTGATGCTTCTTAGCATCATCATCAATTCATTGTGCTGATCATTCGACGATCCAGGAGTTTTCGCTTGTGGTTTGGTACCACCCACATTGACAACCTCAACTGGGTTGTCAGGGCCATCACCAAGCCCTAACGCTTCACCCGATCTGAGAGGATCAGGGGAACCAGGCACGTCAACAAATGGATCAGGTCCGACTGGCACATCGGGTGGGTCTTCCTCAAGGGGAAGAGGTGTGACCATGGCAGGTACAACCGTGGTCATGGATTGGGAAGGGCCCAGCGCATCCAGGTCTCCTGGTGGACCTGGAGATGTGTCAGGGTCATCTGTCTCTCCTGGATCAGGAGGGATATCAGGCATGTTAACGCTGGTGTCAGGGATCGCTCGTCAGTCCGAGTCAAATATCGCCTGAAAACCTAGTTGTAGACAAAGCTGAGGTTCCAACCCTCAGCGGCACATAGAGCTATATACACGAGGAAGAGATAGGATCAAAGGAACTAAACAATGATCTGATAGAAAACGAAGTGAATAGAGATGAAGGAACACTCGGATCAGGGGGCAGAGTCGGATCAGGAGAAGGTGAGGGATTTACGATATATGAGGGCCGATGCGGCTACATGTGGTGATATAGTCTTACACGATATCGATAGGGTAACAGAGAACCGCTTACGCTATGTCCCCTGACAGCTGGGAACCCCAGCGCTATCTGAAGTCTGCATGTTATTATGCGCAGCCGCCCTTGTCCTCTTTGCAGAGGGCAAACCCGAAGCTTTCTTTACCATGGTGGTAACGAAAAGTCGGGAACTTCAATTAGATCGGCGCGCTTTGCGACATCAATCAAAGAAGAAGTTGAAAGGTTAAATTTGTTTGCTCACTGAGCGTAAAAAAGTGTAAGCATTGTTAAGGTTGAGTTCACAAGTGATCTCACGATAGTCAGGTTGCCTCACACTCCCAGTCCATTGAAGTATGCTGTATGAAACTGTATTTATCAATGGGAATAGTTTTTTTCATATATAAATATGAAGCTTGAAATAAGTTAAAGATTAATAGTTCATTTCTATCTTCACTAACTAAAAGTAGTGACTTATGTATTAAAAAGCTTGTAATTCAGTGGTAGAATGCTTCCTTGATGAGGGAGAGGTCAGTGGTTCAAATCCACTCAAGCTTATAAATTTTCAGTATTAAAATTATTTAGTATTATACATTATAAATTAAAAACTATAATATATATGTATATATTACTCACTCCCATTAGGTAACCATAAGGGCCTCCCCTATCATTTAAGATGACGGGAGGGTGATGATAATAATAAAACAATACAGAGGTGAATATTAATTATATAATAACTGGTAGAATACAAGAGGTTTGTTGCCTAATCCGCTTAGACCTAAGAAGTGTTGAGGCAACTGCTAATTTAATTATTTTACTACCACTTAAGTGAATTAAATGGTTAGAGAATCTTACAAATAGTTTGAATATTAGAAAAATAAAGAAAAAATAATCTGATTGAATAGTAGATTGTTTAAATCTAAAGTGGTTCAAACCTGGGGGGGTAAAAGGCTGGGGAAGCCTTTACCCCCCTCACATGTAGGTTAAATACATTATTGTATATACATGTGATAGTTGCAGCTTGGGACCGCATGGTAGAAATGAAGGGTTCAGGAATAGAAGTGTCACATCGGGTACAAACCCAATGCGATAAATAAAGAATGAAGGTAGGCCACGTACTCATGGCCTATATCCCTTACACTGCATCACTGTTTGCACCATCATATGAGTTGGAATTGACATTAGCATCAGGCCAATCCGGAAGTACATCGTCCCAACAGTCTGTGTGTACTCTAGGGGGATTGTGTGGATTGACTCTGTAGTCAGAGATGGATCTACATGTAATTTCTAGTAAAGAAACAAAAGTAATGAATCATGACCTAATAACAATATATGGTGAACCTTACCTTCTGAGTACTTTCCAAGGTTATTTGCTCACTTACGCTTTTTCCCTAGAGGCATAATGTGCAATGTTGGAGGGGAAAGGGTGTGGGCACTTACATGCTTTCCCACTTCGGCCTCGGCAAATTCCGAATGAATTGATTTCGCCATTCCATGCATGCCAAAATTTCACTAACTCCAAAGTGAGAGGGTTAGTTCATTCTGGAATAGTTTGCATCTGTAAAGTGATGACTTGTGCACATCACCAGTCTTAGAAGCCTGATGTCACATGATATAGCAGAAAGCAACCCAACCCAGTTCAGAGCAGCCAAGGGAAATACTGTACCCATGTGACCAACTACCGGTGCATCCCAAGTGTGACACAAAATTTCTGCCAGGTGATGAACCGGGAGCTCATTTTGATGCGTGACAACCCGACCGGCAGGCACGTGACCTTGACCGTGGGAGCATGATCCAAAAGGAAACCAACATGCTGATGGTCACGTTTGGTAGCCAGAATAAATGTGATTAATTTGAAAATGAGTTTCCCTTTAAAATTTCTTTGCACCTAAGTTTTGCTCTTGCGCAACATATCTGCTCTTATACAGATGAGCCCATCCTGTACAGCGGTATCCCAAATGCACTTATCGGATCCTACTTTCCCAGACACACCCTGTCCATCGCTGGGTTTCTCCGGTTCAAACTCCCGTCATCCAAACAAATTTATCTGCATCTCCCAGTAATTCCGGCACCCTTGATGATATAACCACGCTCCCTTCCTCTAGCCTCAGCTTGGATCTTGGCCGTGGAATGCGAGCGAGGCGGACACGCAATTTGGAGGAGGAGATGAAGATTTTTCACTTCTAATATAAATATGACTAAAAAGGGCATTTGAAATATAATTGCATAGCCACTGAGCCGCCACCAAGGAATTTGCGTGACATGGGCTGTTCAACTGCACCCCCAGCGTGACGCGTGACATGACCGTCATTTCGGCCGGACCGGGAGGCCAGCGTGACGCGTGACCGGTAGTTGGTCGCGTGGGTACAGTAGACATCAGGAGCCAAAGCCCAAGATGACTTCAGAAGTGGAAGTGGCAACAAACCAGTTGTAAAAGACTTAATGGCATGGTGTATCAGAAAGGAAGCTGATGTGATGAGAATAGACACTGTGCATGCATCAGGTGAAACAGAAGAATAGACCCTGTGAGCCGGAGTGCCACCCTTAGCGCCAAGGCTCGAGCCAGCAACGAATGGACAGGCACAAACACATCAGGTGACTACGGAATGTATTGTATTGTCTTATTGATTTATGGTTTAGTGGCGAAACACAATATTGAAATATTGGCAAACACTAGTTGAAAGTTGACCTGAGCCTTCTCAAACTCCATAGTACTACCGAAACCGCTAGGCAACCGGTACCAATTATGAAGGCTTTGAAAATCTTTTCTCTATAACCCATTTCATATCAATTCAAACCATTGCATGGCATCAGCGGCACGTGAATCAGGGTTGACCTAAGCACATCAGGGTTCTTCGCTTGTATTTCGGTTTTTGCAGTGAGGCCCTGTGAAACGTCCTGAGAACCCCCCCTCTAAAGGCCCAGATATCGGCTGACCAAGGTAATTGGTTTGCAGATTGGGAAGTGGATACAAGACCCTTTATGAAGCCTTAGCAACAATTCAAACAAAATGCGCATAGTGAGTGCCCCCAGAGATGAGCCCCAGACTACAATGAGAATTCTTTGACGGTTCTGTGGTTTGGTTCAGTTCAGAACCGGTTCACGACACCCCCCAACTTTCGGAACCAGAACCAGAACCAGACCACTGTGGTTCGGTTCCTGGTTCGAACCGGTTCTCTGAGAACTTCGGCACCCCAGTGGAAAACCAGCCGCAATCGGACTGAACGACCCCCCTGATGAACTCTGCCTCGGATTTTTCCGGCTTGTTCCTGCAATCAAGGATTTCGAGCAAAGGACGATGATATCGCCATTCCATGTAGGAACCCTCTTGCTTTTCATAGCGCTTGTTTTCCTCGTCGTCGCCTCCGCTTCTGCGCCTGGATTGCATACGTTGGGATTCATGAAAATCTCTGACTCTTCTGGTACCCTTGTGTTTGGTACTTTTGGGTTTTGCGTAACAGGATCGCGGGACCCCTGGTACAATGGGTGTTCTAAAAGTAGCGTCAGCTACGATATTGGTATGTATTGATCCCTTCGCCCACTTTCTTTGGACTTAGGAATTTTGACAGGGGGCACTGTTGCGGTCTATTACACTGACTGGGAGGATTGGGAATACATCTCCAGCCTTTCCTCCACATCTCTAAGGATCCTAACAGGCTTTCTCATCCTGAATCCTATTGCTGCGGGACTAACTTTGGTGGCTTTTCTCGTTGCCCTCGCGGGAAAACGCACCAGTTTCCTCAGCTCCAGCATGATAGCATTGGCGGCATGCATTGCGACGCTCTTGGCAGTCACTTTTGATTTCGTAACGTTCGGAGTAAGCGATACCAATATTTAAGTGGTTGATGGCACTTCTAATGAGTTTCGCACGACCTAGATCTTCCGGTACCTCGTGAACGGCTTCGTCGTCGGGCCGCAGGCGGAATGGTCATCGGCTACATGGCTGTAAGTGCGCTAGTTTCCCATGCATGCCACCCAATGTATTAATGCCTATCTCCCAGTGCTCTTGCCGCATCAGTACTGTTGATTCTTGCCACGAGCATCCTCTTCCAAGGCTGGCGATCGGAACGTCGCAAGCAGTATAGCATCTACGTAGTGCCAGCTCAAGAGGCAACTTTTAGAGCGGATACTCTCCGGGAGGCAGACAGGAGCAAAGCGGCCGTAGAAGAAGGGACAGCCTGAACGAAGTAGTGCTTATATATCCTCCATGTTGTTCTGTATGATGTGAGTCTCATACTAATTTTTGCTTCGTTTACGTATGCAAGGTTGTGTGTTGATAGGATGAATCAGTTTAGTATGGCGGTCTGGATCCATGGTCGAGTTGACGGTCACACCCTCACACCATATTGCTATATATGTTGTCGCCGTTTATAATTTCTGGTAATTTAATTGTGCGATCCAGGTCCTGTGTAAGTGGTTTTGGGGCGGACGCACTCATTTTCGCCGATCCCGACTTGCCTAGAGGAGCGGACTGAGTGCCTCCGCATCCCTTGCGTTATTCCTACTTTATATCAGCTAGCGAGGTCCTCCGTGGGTTTTTGAACAATCTTGGGTGCCACCAAATTCATATAATATCTGTGCTAAAAGCGGAAACAAGCCTTTGAGGCTATCTTTCCAAGTCGTTGCCTTCGGGATTCTGCTGGAATCAAGTGACTTTCCCCACCCGGCCCAGGACATCTATCTTTCACCGAGCCTCGCGACTTCCGCTGTCATCTTCTGCAGCGGATGCAGACCGATAGTTGTTCCTGTCTTGGCCCTGGGATGTTGTTATATGATCGTGGAGCAGTGATATTTCATGGCCCGGAGCTACTAATGAAGGTAATGAAAACATAGGCACATAGATAGTATCTATCCCGGTGTCCTCAATCCACAGTCACATAACACCCCAGAAGCACGACTGTCTGCATCTATAAGGAAGCGCAGTCTTGTAGCTCAAGACGATCCCAACAGTCAGTCTCACACCGTCTGGCAAAGAAAATCTCCAAGATCATCCAGCGTGCAGACAGTGGGACGATCCAGTTCTCAGTCAACTCCGAGGAAGGCTTGTCTGGAAGGCACCAGCCACATCCCTTCCCCAATTGAGCTTTCCACCAGCTCCCGCAGGAGCAAAGGACAATGGATTGTACTAGTGGAAGACCGGCCTTGAATTCACTAGCCTTAGCAAAGGAGACGATTTACAAAATGAGTGAAGAGTTTTGAGCAGCTGTATCTAAGCCGCGAAACAAAACAAAGGCGAGGAGGAGCACAACGCATTCGCACATGTATGTCAGTTCCAAGTTGACTTTGTCCGGATCAAATTCTATGGTTTGTTCGCGAGTTCTATTTTGGCAAAGGACCGCGGAAACGCTCGTACCGAATTTGGAATGACGGATTCATGCTCCCAAATATCATTCTTGTGCTAATGGAACGTTGGCTTGAGCCTTTCCCAATGCGGACCTTTTTCACTGGCATCGCGCCCGAACAATAGACTCTCGACAGAGCCCTCCGTGTCATGGCCATGGACGCATCGGCTGGGTTCTACCTCTGATACATGTGGTCTCTGAACCATGAAATCACTGCTTCACGATAGGCTGGACTGCAGCCTCAAGCTTCATGAATCCCTATGAATGATATATGTAATTACCAATTGGCAAATGTCCGCAATTTGTTTGGCATTACTCCTTTCGGTACCCACCGCATCATTCCTTAATCTGTGCAGCTTAGGCCTCAGGCTTTCGAACCAAGCTCATCCCATATCCATGTCACCGTTCTGTTCCGTGGAACCCTCAAATCGCTACTATATAAGACGAGGCAAAGCTGTGCGCTTCAGTGTTCTCCTCCACTTGTACGTGCTGTTGTTGGGCGTCGCGACTCCCTTATATCTTCGGGTTTGAACTATCATCTGAAGCGGTGCGCTCCTCCCTGTTTCGAACCTCTATCGATCCACAGTCCAGCCTCGCAATAATTATTTGGGTACTCGTCGCTGATCCCGGACGCGGTCCGCCAACTAGGCAAATACCCACGTTACACGAAGTGTGGACCTTGGGCAGGGATACTGCACAATAATGCCCTCGGGGCACCTATGTGGGTACTACGCGGCAAGGTTCTCAGCGTTTCAATGTGGGATCTTCCTTCTTCTCGTGGCGCTCCCTTGTCTTGTCATCGCCACATTCTCTGCACCGATCTGGGAAGGTCTCGGTTTCATGACAATTGAAGATATCGCATTTTACAGGCGCACAGGATATCAGGGTCGCTTCATTTTTGGCACATTTGGGCACTGTCATACGGGGCTGCCAGGCGACCACGTTTGTTTGAGACCCACAATTAGTTATGACATAGGTGTGTTGACCCTTGCGCGCAAGCTTATCTAGTTCCAATCGCGCCGGTTTACCATAGGCGCCGTGTTATCCGTCTTCAACGATACCTATTTTTCCTCAAAGATTGGTGTAACGCTAAAGCACCTCACAAAAGCTCTATTTCTCCTTCCCATCACAGCTGTTCTTGTCCTTATTGCTCTCATTGCTGCCATCCCGTCCCGTTTCATAGAACGCCTATTCTCTGCCTTAATCGCGACGGTTGCGTGCGTTTTAATGCTCCTATCGCTCATTCTAGAGCTTGTTTTATTTAGCGTGAGCCAACCTCCACTACTCCTACTAAAGAATTACTCCCCTCTCTTCGAATACCACAGATTGTCGAACGTCATGTAAAGGGCGCCAAGACGAATTGGGGCCCCGCAACCAAGCTGTAGGTGGTTTTAGTTCTTCCTTAGCGGCAGGAGCGATCTATCCGAGCTCATGAGCCTCTCGCTTTTTCAGGATCATCGCGGGTTTCCTGTAACTCCTCTTTGGCACAGCCCTGATGTACTGTGGATGGTTTGCCGATCGTCGCAAACGCAATAACGGATACCTCCTCCAAGAGCAATCACAACAAGGCAGGGCATAATCTGTCCCAACTGAATTCCCTCTCCTGGGATAGCAGCTTAGCGCCCACACCTCCACACTCGCTCTGGTTCCAAGGTGGACGGCCGTTCAGCTTCCCAATATTATACACGCACTCCCCTTTCCCTCTTCCCGTTAAAGAGAGGCTGGTCACCTGCCTACTTTCCCTCGAATTATTGTTTTCTTCGCTTCCGAATGCCATCTACCTTAGGTAACGCACCATCCTACATCCCCATCGATTGAGACTTGGGTCCGCACGGTGGAAATGTCCAGTGTTCCCAAATGAGCGTTAAATCTATGCCTAAACCGTGACTTCGTTGGTACCAACCATTCCACGACCCTTTCCGACTGTTTCATCGCCTCGCATCCGGACTCCAGTGATACATACTTCCCTTGCCGCTATGACCGGGAGCGACTTGGAATGATTTTGCATACCTATAACAGGTTCCCGAAAATGGGACCGGGTGCATTGCTCATAATAGGTGGCCCCACTGAGACCGAATGGCATGTTACCTCCATTGTAAAAATGGAAACGTTCCAAACACTCCCACTGTCCAATGGCAAAGTTCTGGTGATTAACTTGGTCAGCATACGACCCCAATCAAAGATATCGAGAGGGCTGGCTTTATGGAGAATCGCACGCAGGAAAGGGTATTCTTGAGGTATTCGAGCTAGCTTGCTACGGAGTGGCGTGGGATTTTGCCCTAAAAATTGCATTTCAATGACATTCACTGGCGTTGGGTTAACAACAGCTAGTGTCAGACAAGCTCTCCAAAGGAAAAGTTGGAAATGATCCGTATATACGAACCCGGCACTTATCAGGAACCCCCACGGACTGTTCGTTCAGATGTTCTGTACACAGACGATTCATTATAAATTTTAAGAATCTCTATGACCGCCAAACAACATGACACACTTCAGTTGTGCCCTGATCTGGTTCCCACTCAGTTGGGTATCAATTGAGCCACATCAGCTCTGGTCTGCCACCAAGTCTGAAGCCATTCTAGAGTCTCTCCCGTGTTATTCGCGTCGACTTCACTAGATGCAGCTAGCTTCGCTGCCATGAAATCGTCTCGCCTCACATCATAGACTGATCGACAGTTGCACAGAGCTCATTTACCATTGCTTCTCCTAAATTGATGTTGCCCCCCCCCAAGCCCTGCTCAACATCTGGAGGCGTAAGTCATACAGGTGAAAGACACTTGTAGGATATTTCAATCGAATTTTTGACTTAGCCTCGATATATGCTACGAGTGAGAGCCTGGCGTGCATCTATGGTGTACGGTGCTTGTCATGCCCACCCGTTTTCCCCCTCACTCATGAATTTGCTCCTCTAACCTTGGCTGGTTAAGTGGCTGCATCGCTGGGTTCTGGCACGCCGTGATCAACCCCCCACATCATCTTTGCCCTTAGATGGACCCAGTGGTGTACTTTTCTGTCGTTCAAGTCGGGCGTCAGACGGGAAGCATTGTTTCCCCGTCCCCAGCGAGGAAGTAGTGTAAAGAACCCAGCCCGGAGTTATTTTCAACTGCTTCGCTTGCATAGATCATCAAGGAATTCGTTGTGGGGTGACAACATATACTACAGCTATTCAAAAGGCTAGCTTTAACTCTGAGTGTCAAAGTAGTGGAGTGAAGTCATGGGCGTATTTTTGGAAACTCAGTAATGTAATGGAGGTGGTGGAAGCGATGGCGAATGCGCGCGTAAATTGGCATGTATAGTACGACGAATCGAGCGGTTCGCCGAGTGGAACCTCCAGTCGCAGCCGGGGTGCAAATTTGGAAGGACAAATCAACACTCCAATCATCTACTGCCGATGCTGGTCCTCTTGTGCAGCAGATTAAGATTATGGCCATACCATCCATGCCGGCTCTGGTGCTTTGTTGTTTGTTTGTTTTATTCTGGATATTTAACCTGCAAAACTTCAGGCTGCTCACACGAGCGCCGAGGGCAGGGGTCTCGAGAAAAATACACGCAAATAAAGTAAAAATAACAGATAAGTCCGATCTGAGAACACTCGTCCTTCTTCGTCCGAATGAAGCCCAGACCATATTCCCCTGGTGAGTCGTCACTTACAGATGTTCGGATATTGTGTTGCCGGCGCCAAAGATGGGAGGGGTTCCGCTTCACGAGCGGGCGTTATCTCTCGGGTTTTGGTTTTCCTCCGTTGTCTCCTAAGTAGCGTTTTTCTTTTCATATGCTCCGCTCTCATTTAAGAATTCTGCCACTCGCTTGATCCCCTCTTCCTTCCCCAGGAGGTCCGCAAGGTTCAGAATTCCGTCTTTGTCTCGTAGGACGTCTCGGTGGCACTGAGAAAAAAAATTCCATGAGAAAATCCTCCGTGAAGTAGGATTAAAGTCCCACTGAGATACAGGATTTTGTCTAAATTTTCCATGTTGGAAAAATCCTGCTGCCGTACATGATTGTGACCAGAATCCTGTCAAAAAGTCCTGCTGAATAACAGGGAATAATCCTTTTATCATGTAATTATCCGTAATAATATCCTAGGAAATCATGCTCAAAAGCGGGTCAAATCTTGTCTAATGACAGCTTATGTCTGACTGGATGAAGGATTATATATTGACTAGTCGACACGATGATATGGGACAATATGACTGGAGCGCCGCAAAAACATAATGAAATGACAATCAAAAGTGAGGGGTCATAAAGTTGTTGCAGTGTCAGGAACTTGAACAGCGAAAAAGTTGAGGCGAACAATGGGGGGTCAAGAGTGCCGTGAGCGTTGTTGGAGAAAAGCATAGGGGTGAGGTTCAGGGCGACATATTATACTGCGGTTTGCCTAGCACCGTTACTAGTGAGAAGCGCATGGTGAGATGTTAAGCACTCACCTGTACATGTTGGATTATGAGTCTTGTCACCGTTCAGGCAACATGTCCCATGCACAGCGCTAGCGTGCAACATCCCAAACATGCGACACTGCCTTCCCGATTGGTCCGTGCACCAATCACCTTGTAGCATGGCCTAGATACAAAAAGCGCCATAGTTAAATGCAATAATAGTCAACTTTGGTACTTACTTTAGTCCCTTGTTATCTCGCGAGTGCAGCCGCTGATCACCACAGTCTACTCATAACAACAGTACGTGGTAAGAATGTACCCAGTAATGGTTGGCCACCTTGCGATTTCTTGCCAATGCCCTAGTACCAGTGACAGGTTTTGAGATCGAAGCGACAAGTTGGGGGAACCTGATGGTATCTGACCTGAAGGTCATCAGATTTGATAATATGAGAGGGCTTACGCACATTATGGTCAATCTCAGAGCCGCATGGCATTGGAATCGGCCCTGGACGCGTTTCTTTGACTCTAGTCGGTTTTTGAAGACAAAAAAACAGTTTAAGTAACTCCTTACACGTGTTAACTTCTGCCAGGAGCTCTACCCATATTATGAAGATGGCACAGTCATGGCACGAATGTGAACCACACATAAGTGCATTGTTCCAAGAGAAAGGGCACACCTTCATGTGCCGCTTCTAGGCTCCCCTGCCCCCGATCAATTGCTCGCTTCTGGCTAGATTGAGGCATGGTAAGTGAGTTGTGTTCACGGAGAGTGAGATTGGGATTGAAGTAACCCGAGGGCCAACATAAACAACACCAAACACACCGACACAACGCGTCGAAGTCCCAACTCCCTCAGTTGCAACATCCCATTACTATTGGGCCTCTGCTACTCTGCTTCCAGCATTTACATCTATTAATAGGCCCAAACTAAGGCCTCCATCATTCCTATGGACGACAGCTTCTCTGGAATGCCACAACTCGTAGATGCCCGCTAGCATTTTTGTATTCCCCTAAGTCCAACCCGAGGCGCCCTTTTGGCTCGTGGCCTCATGATTGTTGTGAAGTGATTTTGCGGCGAGTTGCTATATCTTTTGGAAGACCTTCTGGGCGCTTCGGGCTCGATCGATGAGGAGTGGAGTCTGTGACGATGGGGCTTCTTCGTGCAGTCCCTTTGCATTGATGTGAATGGATCTTGAGGGTTGGATGCGCGAGTTTTGGTTAATTGGTCGATTTTAGGTGCGTTCACGTTGTTGTTTCTGGCTTTCGTCTCCCACCTGAGTCGCCATTCTGACGTTCTGTGACGCCCTTAGATTCATTTCCTACACCCCATTTCCCCTTGTCATCGATTTCCACCCCGACATGTTTGCTACTTCCTGTTTCGAAAAACTCAACATCGCATTCCTTCGACAACTTGCACTATCTTTTTGGGGGGTTTCAGGGACATGAGCGTGAAGAGCCGAAGAGAAATGAGGCTTGGCCTCCTTCCAAAGTCAACGTTGATATCAAAATGCGCTGTAATCGCAAAACCAGACATGATGTTGTTGGTCGACTCAGGGTTGGGGAGGTGGATCCATGTGGGCAGTTGTAGATCGCAGCGGATCCTTGAATATATGTCATAACATGCGTTACAAGATAGTAATATTATGGCTGAAAATTATAGCGTATACAAGTTTTGATGATAAAATCCTCCTTGTGCAGGATTTTAGATAGCCTGGAACCGCAATCCTGTCATGCAGCAAGATCGACGGAAAATCCTGTCACGGAGAATCCTACCCCTTGCCAAGATTTTCTACGAAATCCTCACGTCCGCATGATTTTGTCATGGAATCTTTTTCCTCAGTGGTGGTCGCAGTACAGAGGGCATTCCAAAAGGATGTGCTCTCGTGTCTCGATGGGTGTGCCGCAGTGGCAACTCGGGTCTACGCTAGGTAGGAATCGTTGGCCGGCTCTGGTGCCGCAGAGGATTGCCACGTCAAATCAGGACCATTGAATTCAGAATGCTCTCAATTCATCTGTCACTACCTCATTTGGCACCTGATAATCACTCAATACGCTGAATGCGTTCTAACCGAACTGTTCTATTCGGGCGAATTTCCAAATCGCTGCCATATAAGACCAAGGAAAACATGCGTCTGTGATTCTGTGCCTTTCCCAACGTTGCGTGGCTGTCACTGAGTGTCGCGAACCCCACATATTGTGGTTGGAATCAGCTTATCATCTCTTGAGGTGGTTCTCTACCAATTCGCAACTCAGCCACGCAACTCCTTTCTCCGACCCCAGCGTCGCTGATCAGGGGGCTGATCAGCCAACTCATTGAGGCCCAACACTGCAATAAGCGCGAACTTGAGGTTGGATCACGACGCGACAATGATCTCAACATTTCGATGTGGGGTCCTCCTTCTTTCTTTGGCACTTCCTTGTCTTGTCATCGTCACATTCTCCGCGCCGTTCTGGTATGATGTCGGTTTCATGACAGCGTCATCCGGGGGCTCGAAGTACGTGTTTGGCACATTGGGGTATTGTCTAATCGAACCAGGGGCTCATGGTTGTTCGAAAGCTAAAGTTGGCTATGACATCAGTAAGTCCGCATGCCCACGCCTTAGGTAGCATCAAACGCAATGACCAACCACAGGCATCATATCCGTCATCGACGCCGATCATCCGAGCGCCGAGATCTACAGCTCGCTAAACACCCTCACAAAGATCCTCGTTCTCTTTCCCATCACGGCTGGTCTTGTCTTGCTTGCTTTCATTGTTGCCATCCCGTCTCGTCACATTGGATATGGGACCTCTGCCTTGATCGCGACGATTGCGTGCGTCTCAATACTCTCCGCACTTGTTTTGGAGCTCGTTTTGTTTGGGGTAAGTCTGTTTCCACTTGTAGCTTCGCCATTACGGCTAAAGAATTCCTTTCTTTCCCTCTGGGTTTGACAGATTGTCCAGCGTCACGGGAACGGTTCACGTAATTACCACACAAACTGGGGCCCTTCAACTTGGCTGTAGGCGGCTCATTGTTCTTCGTATTAGTGATTTTGCTCTGAGCTCATGGACGGTTTTCTTGTTTCAGGACCATTGCAGCGTTCGTGGCAGTATTCATCGGTACAATCCTAATGCACTATGGATGGATTGTCGAGCGGCGCAAACGCCGTCGGAGTTACATGTTCTAGCTTCTCCCGGAGCATAATCATGTCTCCGCTCGGTTCCTCCTTTCCGGGAACAGCATCCCTATCTTCTTTTGGTTTTGTTTCTGGTTGTCGCATGCGGGTAACTAGGTTGTGCTGTTACCTATCGCCTCCTTCACTTTCACCCCTGCTTTCGAATTCGTTATTATTATTTTTTCGCGATTCACGAAGGTATTGCAATATCCCCAAACTCATCAACTTTGGACAACACCCAGTCTAGTTGATCCCATCATTGATGACACCGATAAGGTGCGCGTCATTTTGCACACTCCCCTCATTGGTCCAAGTACAGGGGATCCATTCGTTCCCTAAAATTCATTTTACGGAAAATTCACGTCTGGAATTCGGTTGGCGCTACTTGTTTTGGAAACTTCAGCTCACGTCGGGGTTGGAGATGTGACCCTGTCTGACATTGTTACGATCACCCTTTGTACAATGGCAAAAATGTGATGATTTTGCTCATCGATAACGAGGCGATTAGTGTCGGAGTATGGCATGTTAGTTGTTACGAAAATGCGCTTGACTGCTAGCCCTGCTTAGGTCTGCCAAATTAAACGCCGCCTGGCAGACTGAATGTCATCCCATATGGTGCTGTTGTCTGCAGTGTGTGGGCAGAACGTTTCCGACCGACCCTTTCTCGTCCAAAGGCAGGACTTCGGATCGAATGGCATTGCCCTTGTCGGCATGTGGGTGCCTTTTAGGAGTCCTACAGCGGGGCGCGGAGCCACTCCGGCCTTTCTATGATCTTTCGAAGAGTCGCCCTACCGCCGCCGGGAAAGGTCCGGCTCGTGTCCAGTGAATGACGAAGACTAAAGCACAAACTTGGAAGCGGAAGAAACCTTTGATGGGAAGAAGCCATTGGGGGAGGGATTATGCAGCGGAGTACTACCGGGACGTTGCCTCAACAATTTACGCGCCTGTGTTACGTTCGTTTCCCAGGATATCACTGGGACAGGATGGCGGTCTTGCTTCTTGTGTAAGTGAGAACGTTTCGACCCCTCCACTGTCGTCCTCGTCGATATATGAATCTAAATGCGGATAGCGGAGGCACTGCATTCCCGACTGTGGCACTTTATGGAGAGAAAGCGGCTTAGAATGCGCCAAGGCTGTCCAGTGGTGGCCAATGAAAAATCGCCCACCATTCACGCGATCGAATGGATGACAGTACATGCGTGGTTCAGGCCTTGCCTCGATTAAGTCAGATTTGTCGTCGGTTCTGCGGCGCCTACCAATGTCCGAGGAATGGCTGATACAGAACTGTGGTTAGATGATAACACGGTGGCAGCATGTCCGAACTTTCATTCTACCGTTTCCCCGCCTCGTTCAACCGTTATTTCCAACATGCCATATCACTATGGATTATTCAGGAAAGGCCCGGCTCGTGCCTTCATACTCTCCTCAAGTGTTACACGTCCGTCGTGAGTATTATGATCACTATATATATACCCGCATCGTGTATATAATCAGGTCCAAGGTGGTACAATGCTCTGGCTCTGCTCCGGTTGAGTTTGGCCTTCCACGGACCACAATCCACCCACAGCATAACTAATTTTGTATCGATTGGGCGTGCCCTGGTGTAATCTTTTACCTCCGGGCTCTTGGTCACGGTCTCATGAGGTTGAGCATAGTGTTATCACACACGCTTCCCATGAGCTCTCCGCAGATTCTTGATGGCCAAAATCGCTCTCGGAGACTTTTGGATTCGAAACTCTCAGCTTATTCATTGCCCCAAACCGTTACACGAACCCCCAATGCATCTAAAGAACTCGCTATCCGAACTTAGTTTCTTGAGAAACTACTTTCCTCTTTCGCGCCTGGGACTTCTCGGATGTCCCAAACTATCCAACGCCAAGGGACCCTGTAACAGCAAAGGCCATCATGCTGGCCAGGACTTACTTTTCAAGGAGCCCACTCCAGCTGCGGATCTGCATTGTAGGCTGTGACCAGCTATCGTTGGGAATACATATTCCAATGCGATGTTCCGAATCCCATTATTCTAGTTTGCCGTCGTCAAAATTGCCTGCGGACATCGTTATTGTATGTCAATACGGTGGCAATCCACCATTAGGGGCTGCCGGGGCATTGTAAAGCGCCTCGGAAGCACTTTGATCCGTATCTATTCACCGGGATCATCATCTTGGCTGCTTATACTGGTATCCCAACGGAGCAACTTGCTATCCAACCTGTTTGCCTGTTCTTGGAGGTCTCCCAGTTGCACGGGATATTGATGCAAACAGCGAGTGGTCATGGTGATATTCATTGCATGTAGACCTTTACCGCCCTGTCAACGCCCTGCTCTGGGATCGCAGTGCAACCTCCGCACCTTTTGTTGAGATGGCTTCATGTACTGGGCATGATTGGCCGGGCACGACAGCCGCCACCGAACCCAATCCTGGTTTAGCATGTAAGTTAATCTCTAGACTTGATCGATTATTCAAGATGTGTCGTGGCTCGTTTTTCGGCTATTTCGTCCTTGATCAACAAATTCCTCATTATTAATGCGTTTCTGCATGCAAAGTCTCATCAAAATTAGATTATCGATGAGATGAAGGCACTTTTTCTCCAAGGCACTGGGCGCTTCCCTGTTCGCAGAGATTGTGGTAACCGCCTCCACGATGTTAATGAACTTTATCCCCAGTTTATTCGGGTCATCTACGGGTCATCTACACCATCGCCACCACTGTAACAGAGAACGCCTGAAGCCTCCAAAGGCCTAGTAAGCTACGTCTGTTGCTGTGCGCATCCCCATGGACACCTGTGACTGGGCATGCAATGGCTTGGCTACGATAGGGGATCTTGATGCTGATGATTCCATATTTAATTTCGCGCTTCCGACAACTGCTAATTTTGTCATGCGCGCGCGCGACGAGTCTTCGTCTTCGTGGTGCAGTGGGAAAGGCCTTTTACCGGTCTGAAAGCCAATTGCTTTTGTTTACACAGACTTCTTGTCGCACAATCCTGCCAAATAGAACTACTGCAATCGAAAGGCTGTACGATTTCTGCACACAGCCCAACTTTTGGGCCTCATACTCATGATCATGTAATAATCGGAGCTGCGGAGTGATTGAGATATATTGTTGTCTCCGCAGCAGAAGCCATTGTTTCAAATAACGAGAACATCAATATCAGCCGGGAACCGGGTACCAGCATACCCATTCGAGTTGGGTTCACCCTCTTCGTTGCGTATCCTGCTCCTTCAACGTTCATCGCAATTATCCTGTTGCCACTAATGGTGGATGACGAGATGATGATGGTTTCTTTATCTGTGGCTATCGGCATATGCCGAGAGCCCCATGTTCCAATTTAAACCTCCACAAATCCGGCAATTGACGGACCTTCCCGACTAACGCTCTGTGGCTGTTTCGCCACTTTGAGCCACAACTCCAACCCTAAATTTTGTTCAATAACACCGCTTTACTTCTTTGTGTCACGGATGGACCTTTACTCCAGCGCAGTGCCCCTCTTTTCCCCCTCAGCCGTAAAACACTGCAGCATCGCGCCTACTTAAGAGCTTGACAACCTGCTTAGCCACTCCCCACCAGCCCTAAAGAAACATTCAACACTTGAAAACGAGAATGACGTCGGGATTTCATGTCGGGACGTTCTTTCTTTTTGTATCATTTGTTCTCCTCGTTTTCGTCTCCGTATCTGCGCCCGTTTGGCACACTCTCGGGTTTATGAAGGTCTCGGGTTTGGCGGGCCACTCAAGTGGTGCAAGGCTTGTGCTAGGAGTGTACGGGTATTGCATCACTGCAGCCGGGAGTGATTCATGCTCGAAGGTTTCCGTTGGGTATCCTATAGGTCAGCCTTGATAACATCCAGTCTCCCACCTTTAATATATATCATGGACATTACGTTTCCGATAGGTGATGTGCTGAATAGCATTGGTGGCACTACTGCCCATAGGCTACACAACCTCACGGGTGCATTAATCCTTCACCCAATTGCAGCTGGGATCACTTTCATAGCGTTGCTCACCGCTCTCGGTGCACACACGGTCGGGTTTCTCTGTGCGAGTTTCATTGCGTTGATTGCTTGGATTGCAACGGTCCTGGCTCTCATTCTGGACTTCGTCATGTTTGGGGTGTGTTTCCAATTCGGAAGACAGGCGGTGGAGTTTACTGATGTCGGCTTTGGTCGATCGGTTAGATTGTAAAACGCCATGTGAACGACGTGGGTTTGTCATCATTGAAAGCTTCGTGGTCGACTGGTATCTGGCTGTACGTTTTACTTGGTTTCCATGGGACTTAAAAGGCTCACTTTATACATGTTCCCTTCTTGTTCAGTGTTGTCGCTGCAGTCGTGACATTGTTCATCGGAACAATCACCGCCTGCTGTGGTTGCTTAACAGATCGCCGCAAGAACCGTCGCAGCTATTAATCAAATCCCGCCGATCAAGGGACCCGCGGAGTTGCGGTTGCTTCGGGTTCTGTATGCTATGATTTTATACCCTCTCCCATCACTTCTCTGGCTCTCACCCGTATTTATCCCTGCTTGAATTTTGTAATAGCGGAACAACAGAAACGGACTGTTTGACGGATTCAGTGTCCTATCCCCTTCTTCGTTCTCGGACTCACCATATTATATTTCGTTTCCCATGTTAGGGAATTAACAACGTTTCAATTGGGTCGTAATGATGTCTGTTGACTGACATCCAAGCATAAGGAAATTAGGATCCACTGACTTCATAACATGATTAGCCCATGTCAAACGGCGACAACAATGAACGCCCAGGTTCCAGCTGAGAATATCATCATAAAGACGTATACAAAGCTACAAAGCATGCAAAGGCTCGACCAAGGAAAGGATATTTCAGCATACAGGAAAGCCAGCGAAAGAGTTGAATGCGCACATCCCGACTCCGCTGCCGGCTCAAACAAGCATTCCCGCGATACCTGCCGTTTGCATTGTAGCGATAAATCCACACAACAAGGCACTGGGTGCGATCTTGGCAATGACCCTTGCCCTGCTTGGAGCAAGTGCACTCAACACGCCAATCTGAATGCCCAAACTTCCCAAATTCCCGAATCCACATAGTCCATAGCTGGCTACCGTGAAGGCGCGTTCGGAAAGAGGATCCGTTGAGGCCATGATCGTGGATAGCTTCGAGTAGGCTACGAATTCGTTCGCGACGAATTTGAGACCGATGAGGCGTGAGACTCGAATAATCTCCCCACGTGGAACGCCCATGAGGAAGGTTAACGGACAGAAGACGTATCCGAAAATAAGGTCCAGCGTGAGGTTATGAATTCCGAATCCTTTTCCGATCCAAGTGAGTAACCCGTCCATCATGTAGACCAATGCGAGGATCGTCAAGACGTTTGTGAGAATTTGACCTGCGACGAGGAGGCCGAAGGTTGCCCCTTGTGAATAAGCATGTAGGGCATTTACGGGTGCGTCCCTTGCGTTGTGTGCTCCTCTGTCTACAACAATCCGACCCCTTGTAACGGGCTCGTCTGTTTCGGGGAATCTCAGTTTCGAAATGGCTATACTTGCAGGAATGGACATGACAGAAGAGGTGATGAGTGTGGTGGGGGAAACGCCCAAATTGACGTATGCCGCAAAGACTGAACCTGCGATGGTGGAGAATCCAGATGTCATGGAAAGGTGAAGTTCAGATGGAGTCATCAAGTCCACGTAGGGACGGACGAGACACGCTGATTCTCCTTGTCCAATGAATGGTGATGCTGCTGCTACGACGGCTTCAGCACCAGAGATGTTCATGAGTTTGAAAAAGACCCAGGCGAATTTGCCTATGAACCATTGCATCACACCGAACTGGAACGAGAGGAGCCAGATGAGAGAGAGACAGTAGGTGGACCTCGAAAGACTCCTGTGATACTCACATAGTACATCATCTGTACGAAAGCAATGAAAAATATAATTGCGCTCAACACATTCGTGAAGAACCAATGCTTCGCAATCGTTTCTTCATCAAAAAAGAACGCGGCGGCAGGTTCTGCCCGAGCCAGAAAGTCCTGAGCAAGCGTTGCAACCCAAAGGAAGATCTTAAATCCTGCGTCGGACTTGAGAACGAAAAGTGCAATGATTTGCTGGACGAACAGTCCCACGATGACAGTGGGCCAAGGAATTCGGGAACGATTGGTGGAGATGGCGTAAAAGAAACATTGGAAAGCAAATAGGCCCAAGACTGAAATCGCTCGGTCACCGTAGTGAGTACCCTTGTTGGACGGAAATTTTTTTGGTCAGTGGCATTTGAATAGGGGGCGGAGGCACTAACTGCTGGAAGACTAAAGCCAAACGCAGATCCAAAAACAACCGCAATGAGGGCAAGCCAACCAGTGGCGAGACGAGCGTAGTATGGAATAGAGAAGAATGGATCCGAAATAAGCGGGTACCACACGGCAGCTACGGGCTTGGTCACAATTGAATTGGGAATGAACCGGAAGGCGATGATTCTGCCAGTAGAGTATTACATAATGTCATATGGAGGGAGTTGAGTTGCACAGTTGATGAGTGAGTGAAACTCTCCACATGAACAGTCCTCGAACATCGTGCCTGCTCAAGGCAGGCGACATGATGTGAACTGCAGTACTCACGAAATGAAAGTCCATGCCCAGAACGTTTGAACGATCTGGTTTGGAAACAAGTCAACATCGCAACCGCGTAGTCAAACATTGTTGAGATGTCATCAGGGAATAACGAAAACATACCCAACGATGTCTCGTCGCATGGACGATGGTCGAGCTTATCCACCAACCTAGAATAACAAGTGCCAAAGCTGCAAGGATGAATGGCCTGTATTTCGCATAGAAAGCTGAACCTGATTCGACTTCGTCATCCCCCTTCAGCACGCCAGCCTCAACATCACTAGTGGTCACCGCGGCTACAGATTCAGGGCCTTTGGGCTCGCCAGTAGAGGAAGTAGAATTGCGATTGTGTTTCTCCTCGGTAACCAATTCCTGAATAGCGGGAGAGTCACCTTTACTCTCATAGATGGGTGCGGGTTTCTCGATGTCTGCCATTTCTCAGACTATGCCGTCAAACACGCTGGCTGGCTCGACGTCGACAGAAAAGGGGGGAAGGAAGCTGAAAGACAGGATGAAAGGGTAAGAGTGGAGGAAGAGTCCTGAGATGAAAGAAGTATCTCGCTAGTATTAAATGCACTTTTCCGCCGGCACTCGCGATGCGGGCCACTAGGAGATGTAGGGGTAAATGGGTGAATTATTATTTTTAATGCGATCGACCTCGGAGTTCGGGTGTTGATGAACGAGATCTGAACCATGAGGCAAAATATCACGGATACTAAACTGGCAGAAATCAGAGACAGTGGTATCACCACCAGTACTCTAGCCTCGTCCATATGGCTCAGCTCTAAACACCCATTCACTCGCCGCTTCTGAACTTACGCGATGAAACCGGTCAAAGAAGCTCATTGAGCAGAAGCTTCCAATGCACATGTGATGCATTCCACCTGAATCATTGACAACGCCGGGGCCGCTGCTCCGTTGAGCTCACTTTGACAACATAGCACAAGCTGGTGATGACTATCATGCATGATCACGTCTCGGCGCCACTTATGCGTGGGCGCTGTTTTTTCCTCTGTCTCAGTGTCTGTCGCTCGCTATCATCACCTGGCTATTCCCATGCTTTCTGCAGAACGTTTTGACATGCCCTTGTGTCCTTGTGCTGCGGAGGACGGTTATGAACGCAGCGTTTGGCCCTCGACGAAACCCCGATGCTGAAGGGGGCTTATTTCCCAACTCCCCGGATTATGGGGACCTTTCGACTCTTCTAGTGGCCCTGAGACCCGGGATCTGTGGTATCACACAGTCGTCTTCTTGGGTTGTTGGGCTTCCGTCTCTGGCATCGCCCTAACTTGCCACGAAGCGGCCCGGCTCTCTTGGTATGCGTTTCCCTCGTAGGTCACGGCCAAGCCGAAACATAAGCTCTCTATGTTACTCCACGATGGACTTGTCGCCCAAGCCGCCTTATCTTTTGGTAGCGCACCACCGCAGCTGCTAAGGCGACTGCCATCCCTGGCTCGGCACCCCGCTAATTCCCTCCCATCCTTGTTGATATAATCAACCATGGAGTTTTCTGGACCTTGTCACCACAAGGGCAATCGAGCAAAGACAGGGACTTTAGCATTTCCATCTTGCATCCTTATCTCAGGACATGAACATTCCCACAGCTAAATTACAAGCTTAATTGCCGAAGGCCGACGTTTGAGCTCTGTGGTTTTGGATTATTTACTTCCATCAAAGCCCTCACAGGAGAAGGGCCAAATGGGGCACTCCACGCGTTAATCTCTCCCAGCCGCCGCCGCGGCCTTCGTGGCTCAATTTATGCGCTCACGTTCCCGCTCCCGCCATTCTCTTTGTGCCCTTCAACTTCTTGATTGATTAATTTAGGGGCGAACACGCCCCTAACCTAGGTCAATATGGACGCCTCGAGACCAACTACACTTCTCACTTCGGGTAGCATCGCACCCACTCTTTCCTTCATATCCCACAGCCGCCTCCTGTGTGAAGACAGAATCCCTATAATGTCTCACTTCCGGTCCTGTTTCGTTCAGGCACACCCAATTCCCTCCCTACTTCCTAACGCATTGTGCATACAGCCTCACGATCCGCTTGTTGCTCTCCCCTCCCCATTCATATTCAATATTCATATGATTAACCAAGGGTTCAATCTAACTCTGCATGTGAATACATGGCTGGTAATGAGGGCACTGCATTTTCCAGAAGCAAGATTGCACTGCCCACACACCCTCAGGTCTTCTCTTAGTCGCCTGCAGAAAGCTCGGTCTATAAACCTCATTGATTTACTGCCCACTGTAGACTATCGGAGAACCCGCTTAGTAGTGCGGCTCCGTTGGGATGGCGGTCTGAAAGACATAATTGCTGGCACAAATAGAGGCTTTGAGGGCGATCCTCCCACATCTGCACCCCTATTGCGTGCATAGGATGCGCGCAACAGCCGCCTTCGCTTCTCTGTCCCCCGCGATTGATCATCCCTCAATTCGCAATGAGAATGATTGCCATGATGCAGTCATGATTGATAGAAACCCGGCCCGACTTGCCGCGCAGACCACAAATGTCCTGGTCCATCCGTTCAAGCCCCCCATTTTCGATTCTATCTTCCCTCCATTTCGAAGCTATCGCTTTCCGTAATCCTCCTGGATCATTCACCCATTACTCTCACCCTCCATACTTTATTTATAGCTTCCCCGCATGTTTAGCAGGCATGGCGAAGCCGATGACAAATAATCGATCTCAAGGTTGAACTCATTGAAACAGGCGGGCTGTTCCGCGCATTCATGACTATCCATGCCCATCTTCTACCATTCAACCTGCGCTCTACTTACGTCTCTGCACCCACTACCTGTAGAAACCCTTCGTCTGATTCATCTCCCGTTTTCAACGCTTCGAACAGCCAACGGACTGCAGGCATCAAACCATTTTTACGTTGCGTGGACACATGGGAACCGCGCAAGTCAGGCTCATATAGCGTCCTTTGCGTGTATCATCCCCTGGGAAAGGGTGGGAAAACGCATAATGAACATCTGAACTCACTCAAGCCAATCTACTTATATCATGTGCCTAACTGACTGCACATGACACGCAACTATATTTATGGGGTTGGAGGTGGCTTAAATAAGGACCTCCTCTCCAGCTTTTCTACCGTATTTGTCGGAGCGCCCAGGAACAAGTAGACCGTGCAACATAGTATGATCTGCGTCTGCCCATGCTCTTTTCCAGTGTTTCGGCCCTGCGCATGCGAGTAGCCCCACGGAGCGGGTCAGCTAGCCTTCTGTCTTCGGATGCGGTATGTATAATATGCCGACCATCAACCGACCCTACCTCCGAATCCCGAGCGCAATACACGCGCGGCGTTTTGGATCCTAGTCCACCTTCCGCACCCTCTGCCGATCGCCCTTTCCTGACAACATGACTGCTACATTCATGTGCGCTCTTAGGTCGATGGATACCATGTAGAAGACCTATAGTCTTCTTTCCCCTACTCATTTCATATCCTTGCCAAGATAACGTGCAGAACCTCAGATTATACACCACGGTGTATTAGCGTCTGATACTTTTCTCCCACAATCCCCCATTTGGACAATACTCAGTATGGTGTTCACCCTTCTCGGCGTGAAGGCGCAAAAGCTCCCGAAGAATCAACATTGTAACCTTGCATACCATCCTACTGCAGCATGACACCTCACACGCACACACGAGTGCACTACTCACGGGCTCCGTCGTTGTATACAGCCACACAAGCATAGTGCGAACCGAGCTGATCCTAGATCAAACCTTCTGATTTGATGTTTGCGCATCCCACGAATCTTTCCCTCATTCTCTCAGAGCCCGGGGATCGTGAACGTGTTCAATTGAGAAGAATGCATCTCCATTTTTGACGCCCGAAAATCCCTGACAGACAGTAATTGAAACTTGTTCACGTAGGCGCTCCTCCCCTGGCCGAGATGATGAACCTCACTCTGTACATTCCTTGCACAACTTCAACTCACTTGCCTGCTTGATATTTTATCCTTGGACTTGATCGGCTCCGGCAGCATAAACAATCATGAGCCATAATAGTGGTCGTAATGCGCAAATCCACCAGTGGACTTACACACGAGCCGCGGCGGTTCACTCGGATAGTGGAATGTATAACCCCATGAAGCTTATGATCGGCTAATGATATCGATGCATCCGCGACATGCGCGATAATGGGCTTCGTATTCGAGGTGCCCAGGCCAGTGCATGGAATAGAGCGATGAAGAGCAGCTTCAGGATCGTGCGGACCCCATTGGGGAAAGCTATAGAGGTTCAACGCCCAGGACAAGCGGCTTGACCGCTGCCATGGCATGGCTCCGTCAGACGTGCTCAGAGATTGTTGCACTATACTTGGCACCGAATATCACCGCTCATGATACATCGGACAAGGGAGCACCGTTCATTCAGCCACTCATTGATCTCAAGCCAACCCAGTAAGTTCAAGTTTTTCATACGTAGACTCGTATTGTTGGCTAACCACTCTCGCCTTCATTGCACAACTTGTTTCCGCTTCTCATCCCTGATGATTCATTTTCCCTTCTAATTGTGTAAATCTCGTACCGTTGACCCTTCATCCACACGATTGGGTTCTCTGCCGCTGATTCTTCCATGCTGACGGATCTGTTTCGGTTGCAATGGAGTCGTATGGACCGTACCCCCGCCTGATTAATATTTAGGCCTAAGCTGAACTCTCATCTCGCGAAGCCATCGAGAATTTTCGCTTCGCTTCTTGTCTCTTTGGCTCGCTCGCGGAACGAGGCTGAACACTGTTAACCTACTTGGCGTCCTTTGAGGAGTGATCTCTACGGTTGTCCCGACCGCGAGGGCGTGGTTATACCATGCCGAGTGTGGAAGTTGATGCCGACAAGATCGAGGGGTTGAAGACCCACGGCATCCCCCCAGCCAATATCTCGACCACGGCGTCCAACAGCAGCGAGGCGTCGAGCAGTACCATGGACACAGGTCTGACAGTGAGTGAATTCAAACTCATTCAATATCATATCCCGTCGGGACAATGGATTCCCATACATAAGCAGCGCGCTCCAAAGTAAACACTTCCAATCTTAACTAACCTTGCCGCTTTTCTTGCTTTTTTCCTGGTGAACAGAGCCCAGCACCGTTGCGAACTTCTTCCCCATCCCCACCATCCGGACAATTTGCAGTTGGAAAAGCCCAGGTTCAGCTGCCTCACGATGTCCTCCATACCATCATTTCTCATTGTATCTCCCACCCCTTAACGCTTAAATCTCTCAACCTTGTCTCTCATGATCTTCATCGTGCCTCAAACGTCTTTCTTTGGCGATCGGTTGTCCTCGTTACAGGCCTTTGGAGAGGCCTCATCAAAAATGCAAGCAAAATGGACATCTTGCTTGCGTCAAAAGCAAAATGGATCAAAACTCTAAGCATCGTCATATCCTATGCGGATGAAATACCGGACACCCATCTATATGGAGATAGCAATACCAATAACATCAGGATCGGTAGCGGTGAGGGCGACACAAACACTCACCCCTCTCCGCCGACATATTCAATTCATCAATCTTGTATTTCTCTACCACATTCGGCAACATTAAATTTATCCGCAACTGAGCCGTCGTCCTTACCCCATTCCCTACTCAGGAAGCTTATCCAGCTTCTCCACGCCGCCCAAAACCTAGCCTCCCTCTCACTCTACCCATGGTCCCTCCGCTCAGCTCTTCACACATCCCTTAATGCGCACGCTCTCTCCTTTCCTTTCTCACTCAGGGAACTCTCATCCTTTGCTCCTTCTTTAACAGATCTTCATCCGTTCATTGATGCTCAACCAGGGATCACTAAATGGACAGTGAAAAATGTTCCGAGTGGGTGGCGTATTGGGGATCCCATGTTTGACACAGATGGAAGCGAGGCCGAGGACGGAAGCATAAGGGCTGCCTCGTCCCCTTTGTCAAGTATGATGCTGCCTGTAACGACAACTTCTTCCGACGAGGAGACCGTGGGAAGTGCAATGGGTGGGAGGGGTGATGGCGGTAGCAACGACAACATGGGAAGTCCTGGTAGAATGAGTCGAAAAAGACAGGTTGGGAGCAAAAGGAACTGGGCTCTCCCAGAAGGGTTGTTGCCAAATTTACGATCGGTATGTGCAGCACCTACGGTCGTGGCTGGGATTATACAGGGCAGGCCAGTGAAGGAAGTAGATCTGAGGACACACGATACTGGCGCGGGAAATACAATGGATGGGTACGCGTGGGAGGATGATCGAGAAGAAGATTGGGATGAAACATTGTGTGGCAGCGTCGGAGACAGGAATGCCGGAAGAACGATGATGGGCGGAAGTAGAATCGAGGGAAAGATGGCACGACCCAAACTATGGGGTGAGCGAGTGAGAGTTTTGAGAACCTCATTAGGTGGAGAAATGCATGGCGACCGGGATAGTCAATTCCCTTTATCCCTTTCGGAAAGCCTGAACCAAGGGGACAGTTTCATAGGGCCCACATCCGGCATCCAACTCGGCACCACTAGCAATTTGCCTCTCGACCCACTCCGATTCTTGACGAGAATCTTCCCAAATACCACCCACCTTGAGATAAACTCCCAAACGTCGGTTCCACTGGCGCTCACACCCACCAAATCCCACTCACTGTTCCTTGGTAACATGTTCAATACCCAAGCTCTGGGACCCGCCTATCCCCAGAACTTCAATCAGGGTTCGGCTACTCCTGCAGAAGCCACGGAACGCAGCATCCGATTCGCGTGCCGCAATCTGGCAAGGACGCTGAGCCAATTCCGCTTCTTGGAGAAGACGATTTGGTGGGATCTAACAGCAAGCGAGCCAACCCCAGTGGGACATACGAATTCATCAACTTCGCCTATATTTGGTCTCGGGCCCGGGATGTTAACGAACCGCCCTGATGAGAAGACGGGAGGTTATTGGATCCTTGTCGAGGAATGCAGGAGATTCTGCCCGTCATTGAAGTGTTTCGTTCTGAATGGAGTAAAGATTGATTTTTAGAAGCTGCGTTAAGTCCGATACCTTTCCTTCTTTGATTGTATAGATAATCCCCTCCGTGCCCTTTCCTAAAAATTATCAATTGGATTCTCCTATGGGCTTATGTTGAAACACGTCAGTGGAATACTATCGAGAGACCGGCTTTAGGGGCACGCAACGCTGCGAGTCGTCAACCAGATCGTCAGCTCATACCGATCTATAGCATGATCAACGCCAACAAGGTACGCAGACCCTTCACAGAGTTCTCCAGTCCCGCCGCAAACAACACCACTATTGAGATCCTGCTCCAGGTCGCGTAATCTCCCCAAGCTAATAATAAATGCGTCCAACACTCATCCTGCGTTGCGCTCAAGGCCGATTTCTTTAACATATGTACCACCTGAGCAAGAATGGTTGATCCGTCCCTTGTACGAAGTTGGCGACTCTGCGGCGAGTTCAGGGCTAGGAAGGATCCCAGCCTCCCCTTTACTTCCCGGGAATGCATATTCGATCTCGGGATCTTTCCAGACAGAATACTTAAGCAATGCTAGCCATTTAGCAGGCAAAGTATTCGCTAAGATCCAGCGTTAGAGTCGAGGTATTGCATATCCATGTTCTTATCTGCAGAGCTGGACAGCAGTGGGATGCACCGCATAAGTTGATGTAACGCCATCTCGCTCCGAAGCAAGTATGAGTCCCCGGAAGCTGGTCCAAAGCAAGGGTCACGCTGGTTATTCGGGTGCGACGGAGAAGTAACACGTAGTTCTGCGAGGCAGGGCACTCGCGACGAACTTCCACGTCTTTGACAACACCGCGCGTCCATGGCCGGGAAATCCCAGGCTCATGTAACTTTCAGCGTCCATCCGTGGACGTGGGGACCTCACCAGTAAGACATTCAAGATTTGGTACAGGGAAATTTATTGGTTCTTTCACAACGGAGGGGAGGGGGTGACTCTAATCCTTTGGGTTTGGACTAAGGAGTTCCAAATTCCCGGGTGCCATCCAGGCGGACGCGAAGGGCATGCAGAGCAGAGCAGCTGGATAGCTTTGAACGAGGCCTCTTCAACGGTCGGCATCGGAGTACAATAACACGAAGACGGGCACTTAGATTAAGGTAAGTTTCTTGGTCATTGAGAAAACGTCTATAGCTGTGTCAGCACAGAGTGGCGCAGACTGGGAGAGTGACCCTCAGAATGGTTTATGTTCACACAGTTCATTATAACATCATTGATGAGATCTGAAGCACATATTCCTGCAAGAGATATCGCGCTCTGAGCCAGCGGGGTCAAACAACTCACAAGGCCAGTAGGGCTCATTCGGGAGCAGCTGGAAGCGCCTCGTACTCGAGTAGATCAAGGATCATTTCCTATAAATACTTTTGATATGTTCCAGCTTATCTTGATACCTGTCGGGTTTGATCACACAGTATAAGGGATTGACGTGCGATCGAACAGAAGGTGGCGTTGACTAGACAGATGGATTTGAGTGATCGCCTACAGTTCGCCAAAGAATGACCACTATATAACAGTATCCTATACAGCGCTCAATTGAGCTAGTTGGCAATCAGGCAAATGTTGCGAACACGCCCTCGGGTACGCGAACAGAGGCTATCCACTCAATGTATGAGAATCGACATTTGGATTAGCATGCAAGAGCGTGAGCGTTTTCATGCGAAGAATATTTAATATTGCACCGTTTTCGCCTCAACATCAAAAACTAGGGCTAACAACCAAAGAGACCTCAGTAGCGCCATTCGCTTGATCACCGCACATGTCTCGATGATGAACACAGGTCTGTGGACCGTGAGCCAACTGACCGAGCTCAACCTTTGCGGCCTCATGAAGAGAATTGAAGGCTTCTCGGTATGCACCTATTATACAGCAGATGCACCATATCGCCCGAGCCTCTGGGGAACCGCGTGTGGCAGGTTTTAGAAGCTTAGTGTCCAGGTGTCATTGAAACAGTAACTCCTGAGCAGGTAGACGGTGACAACTGACATTTCTGAAAACCGCTGGTTGTAGGCACCATAGCAAAGGGTCATCCGCCCCCACTATTTGCTTTTGAGGACGGACTTTCCAACACCGGTAGCGCTAATGTCTAAGGGAACACTAAGAATAAGAGCGGTTCAAATTCCGGAAAGCTAGCACCAAGCGAGCTGGGCATCAGTGAATGATGGGTAGCCGAATAATCTTCATAATGGCTAAGGAATCGACCGTAATCACCGTGTGCTTCAACGGGCTCTGGCGGCATACGCACGCAGATCCCTGCGTCATCTGACTTCCACAACCACTTTCCTTTTCTCCCAGTCCTTTGCGATGGCGGCTTCCAGCCATTCAGCAAGATCCTTCGCCCTCGATATCGCAACGTCCACGCATTTCTTTAGCTCAGCTTCCGATAGGGGAAGCCCTCCAGCCTTTTGGAGGACGCAAAGTGTCGGGGAGGTAGACGAAAGATGAGTAAGAGCAATGTGAAGACGAGAGGAGGAAAGAACAGTTTCAAGATGAGTCGGATCTACAACGGGATTCGCGCTGTGGAGATGTCAGAACGTGGGAAACAGAGGATACCCATGACATACCTATCCTCGAAGAACGCGAAAGTCACGCATATAGGGATGTGATGGATGGCGAGAGGGAGGGGTGCTCGCTCGGCTGGATCATGCTGAGTAGCATTCATGTCAACGAGGAATTCAGTGAATGATTAAAAATTGATCGCGTAAAAGGACTAACTACGATCAGTTCCTCCCCTACAACTTCTACGTCTGGCCGACGATAGTGCCGTAACGCTACTATGCCTGCGAGACATGCGCAATCGAGCATGTTTCCTTCATCTGAAAGGAAATGGAACGTTAACTTGAGGTTCCATACCTGGGAGTTGAGTTTTGAGTTCTCAGACAGAGAGAAGCCTGGACGACCACCATACCCGCTGTCCCGCCAGAATACAAAGTGATTCTCGATCAACAGCAAGACTCCTCCGCAAGACTTTATCGAGCATTCGTGTAATGAGGACCTCCTCATCCGTCGGTCTACAGGTTACACAGCAGAGTTAGATCATCTAGATTTATAATTAACGTGAATGTTGGGAAAAGAAAACCGTACGAGAACTGAACGAGCGTAAGAAAGGCGCGACAGAGGGTTTTGAGGATGAAGGATGGTCACACTCGACGAGGCAAGAGCACTCACTCAAAAAAACGGGCGCCTCGCACTAAGTGTGTCATCGAGAGCTTACCTGGATGTGTCATATATAGGAGCCGTCATTGGAGACAACTCTGAATGGATAGTCAGAGCTCCTTCATACGGTTTATCGGCACGTTGTGGTCTTCCAATCACTCCATTGACTACTGCAATTACTCTGAAGACAACAGATGAGGTGGCAACCCCCCGGAAGGCACGTATCCGTGAGAGGTTTACCTTGTCTTTCCCAACCGACACTCAACCACGCCAAGATCCTCCCCGAAGATGAGCTCATGATCCCTCCCTTGAAGAAAATCCCTTCCATCCAAGCGGATACGGTTTTGCAAGGCAGAGAGGACAAATGTTCGATTTGATGTTGGCTGATCGAATTCCCGTGGCATTGAAAACAAAGCCCTAATCTCCGGCACAAGCCCTTATCTTTGATTCTAACAGAAGGTGGTGGCCTGCGTGACCGCTCGACACTTGTCGCACTTTTGACGAGAGAGCTGGTGGGAATCCGAGTGGTCTATGAGTTAGTTAGCCTTCATGGTAGTAAAATAAGTGACAAGGAATTATGCATGACATTTTTCTCTGTATGTAGTCTCCAAGTAATCAACTGAGGAACGTTCGTCAAGGCGCTGGAGTGGAAAAATTGAGATCGAATTGGAAATCAGGATTCTAGCGTGACACGTGACATCAAGAAATTAATGCAACTAACAGAAACATCCCGTAAACCGCATCCCTAAGCTTGCGACCACTTGTTCGATGCGTTGGCGGGCCCTAGTGGGCATGCCCATTTTTTTTGCACACGGTCTACATAGATTGATTTGCCTGCGGCTTGACACACTTTGCCTTTCGTTAGATTAGGCTGTCCCAAGACCCTCGAGCAGCAGGCGCTCGAAGTATCATGTCACCAGTTCTAAATGGACGAGCTTGAAAGAGCATTTCTTTCCATCTGCCATTCCACACCCAAGCAACGCAGTCAATGGCCACACCGCGCGCCATTTTAGAGAAAGGCATGGTCAAGTAGTTGGCGAATTGTGTCGTTGCGTTTGCAATTATGTCGATGTTCAATTAAAGCCTCTTCTTCCCCCTAAAGAGAGGCTGGTCACCTGCCTAATTAAAGCCCACGTTGTCCAAGAAGAGCCCCGTCTGACTATTCAGTGTTTATACGGAATATTTGTGCCAGTTCCCGCAATTTCTTATTCCGCAAGGAAACGGTCGGGAGAGAAATATGTCAGTTCTTCCTTGCGAGGGCCACGTACCGGGAACGTTCGCCCACTGAATGCTTAGCCTTAGTGCGTGGGCCCTTTCTTTACGTCTCCGCGGGTTGTGGTTGATTGCCGGTTCACGTAACACTGCAAATTGTGCATGACTTCTCCGCATCTGCAAGAGGAAGAGATGAGCATCGGTTCAATTACCACAGATCTCTGGACAAGCTAGCAAGAATATCCGAAGAATACAATGGACACGGTGAATTCGGCCAACTCCGCTGAGAAGTTCTCGACCATGAAGTTATTCACTCTCCATGAGAACTCGTGGATTGGATCTTTGCCCAGTGTACAACAAAGCTATGGGTCTAGCTGGTCGAAGTGAACGAGTGCTGGGAAGGCCAATCGCAAGGCTTCGATCCTGCCGATCTCTCTGTCGCCATCGAGCTGCTGTGAGTATCGTCTTCCCGAGCTAAATCTCTTCGGCCATCAATGGAAACCATCCCAGAGGGCTAGACCTGAGGGTTCCTCGAGTCGCCTATTGGGTTTAAATAGTGTGGCAGACACTAGGAACGCGAGTCTGGGCCTCGGATGATCATCCCTTTGCAATGCAACTGATGGGTAGTAATTGCAATAATGGAGTGGGTTTCATAATTGAGTTTTTGACCTGAATAGACACAAACTTTTTTGTGTAGGAATTAAGGTCATGACCAGGCATAAATCATAAATGAATCGCCGTCAACGGGGGCGATCTCATTTCTGCGTGTTCTGAAGGAACCCTTACCGTGACAATGTTGATGCTCGCGGGGTAGGGATCACCATGGAAACTACTTCAAAATTTCACATGCGGATCCCAAGAATCCAACCACAAATACCACAATAATACAGGTGTGAGTTCGCGCAGGCATTCTAGCTCGCAATGGAGCCCCTTTCTCTAGGAAAAATCCGCTCGTGGAGGTGGTGCCCCAAGCGCGCCGTGGCACTGAAATTCCCTCACTTGAAGGTCTAGCCCGGATTTACATAAATTGGCCATGTTCGCAGGATCGGGTTCTGAGCCCGTGTACGATCTGATTCTGCAAGTGCGTGGGATGCGACTCGGTCCTGTTCGAGTCCACCCAACGCGGGTTCCGCCGAACGGGATGGAAATATATCATATTCAGAAAAAACAACTCATTCCGGCAGCCAATTCCCTTTTGGCCTAGTTCTAGATCTTGATTTCTACGCGTACAAATCCATCTAGACTAGTTTCGCCAGGAGGGTCGCAAACATGGCATTCGAGACGCACTTGATTGAATATCTTTCTGCATGAAGTCATCACCCGCTAATTCGCCGCGATTCCGGATGTGGGAACAATGGTCAGATGGAGAACGCTCTCTTCTGGCTTGACCCATGATCCTGACATGGTCCTCATTTCGCATCCATGATTGAGGTCGCGTTCATGTCCACTTGCTTCTTTGGCGGATTTTCCTTTCGTCCCCGCTCCGCCACTTGTGGCTTCTTCATTCAGTACACATGAGCATCTTCATTGTGTATTACCCCGCGCAGCATTGAGCCAGATGTTGCCATCCTGGGTCCTAAACAAGGTAAGCCAGAGACGTCTGGTTGGCCTTGCCCTATGTTCACATGAGGACTCAATGCGGAGATATGAGCTGGGCAAGAATAGTTGAATTTCAATCTCCTTCATTTGTTAAGGAGTTCGGTTGCCATTACTCCACACCCTTTTCTTGTGCCTTTCCCCTCCCCTTTGAAGCTCCTCATAACGCTCGGCTAACCCGACTTACGTGGGTGTCCACGCCCTTGGTCGGTTGTGCATTCGTCCAAGTCTCATGTCTTGCTAGCAATTGAGCAGGCGACGATCGTGCACTACACCTTCGCCTGCGTTTGAAGCGCAGGAACATTTGAGGCGAATGATCCAAGAACGTCCGAGGTAGCTCATCGCCCATTGCCACGATTTTTTGGCCTATGATGGATTCTGTTGTGAGAGGTTTATGCCATGGTGTATTGTATTGATGTGTCAGCAAAAAGATGCCGTAACAAAACCAGGAAGGGAGAGTTGGAAGCTTTGTCGAATACCCCAAAATGTAACCAGATATAGCAATGGACTAATTCATAGATCCAGTTGCGATGGAGGCGTGGGATGCATAGCGTGAGATGTAATGTTGGTTGCTTGCGGTTGGGCGTGTGGACTGCAACAAGTCACGAGGGGATTTTCACATTTTCATAATCATTTTTTGCTCCTGTGCCCTCTGAGGTGGCAAGAAAGGAAGGTCACCACCAATGGAATGGGAATGGTGTAGGTCACAACCCTGATTTTCGAGTGAACTCTTAATATTAGGAAATGGTGCTGCCGTTTTTTTGACGGAGAGAGCTCTGCTGCAGTCAGTACTCCTGTATCGCACGTGACCAATGGAAGCTGCTGTTGGCTCAACGATGTTCCAAAACTGGACATCTGAGCTCTTAGGCGCAGCCAAGTCATCGAGCTTTATTCCCCCCCGGGTGTTTGACTGAGTGTTATGGGCTTTAGCGAAGTAGAATACTGTACCGCGGTTGAAAAATGGGACATGCAATTGCGGTAACGGCCGAGAACACATGGGATCGGTTGTTTGAGTCGGCAGAGTTGAGCGGTTCATCGACGAGCAAAAAACTGTACCTTGAACGGAAATACATCTTTGCATACAATAGTTTTGAGTGGACATTGAAAAGTTGCCACACGAAGAAAAGAATAACCGGAATATTTCTTCGGAAGCAGACATTGTTTCTGCTCAGCTCCCTCATACATACCCAGGCGCCAGTTGCTTTCAGTTGAGCTTCTTCTCTCCTTCGTTACACTGTCGGACCAGGCTCTATACTGCCCATCGCAGGCCACCAGGAAGGCCAACGCGTGCAGTGCCGTCCTCAAGGTGTGCGCTCTCTCCTGTACCGACCCATCGGGGACTGTAATTGTGATCTGTTGCTCCAGTTTTCTCTGAGCTGTCCCATCGCTTGAGATGGACTCTGGCTCTTCGCAAGCTCGATCTTCAGGTCCCAAACCGTCACAATCTGCTTCAAGTGGGTCCCGTTCCTGGAGGGTTCCTGCTTCAAGACCCTCCAGGATTGCGACCTCTCCCTCCGCCGATCCCCCGAAACCCGCGAACCCGCCTCTTCAGTCTCCTGCTACATCCGTCTCATTAGCCGCAGGAGGCTGGTCCATGCCTTCGTCGTCTGCGTCCCGCACCCACTTCCCCTATCAATCACTTCAAATTCCCCCCGACGAAGCTATGGCATTTGGCCCAAAATCGTCTCAGTCCCTATTCCAAAGGCGGTCGGATGCTATGTCACCCCCAAATACCATCGTGCCAAATCAACCGCACCCCTCCGTGTGGGAGTTGAGTTCAATGCAATGCGATTCCATCCACCCATCAACCATGGCGCCATTCTCCGAACGCACGACAAATATTACCAATGCTCAAGAGGTGTCTGACCATAGTGCCAATCCACGTGGCGGTTCATTACACAATCCCCAAACAACCGGCGCACCAAGCGTTGCTTCCTCATCACGGGGTTCTCAACGCGCCGAAGCCAGTTATACGAACTCCCATGTCAATTTTGGTGACCCCCTCCCCGTTTCCCTGCCTTGGACCGCTGCGTGGGCGCAAGGCGCACACGGTCACTCGATTGTCGGAGGCTCCTCGATCAGCGAGGCGCCGCGGAGTGCACTGAGGTCCCGCCTTTCTCCTACTTTGTCTATGTCCATTTTGAATGCGCCGCAGGGCCCTATTCCTCAGCTCACTGGAGACTCTTTTGCCGCAGCTGGAAGCGGTGTGGAAGATGCGGCAAGACGCCTGCGGCGAAATCCTAGCTGCTCTTCAAGCTCTACCGTGCCGGCAGAGTTTTCAGTTCCAAATTCACCTAGCGTCCTGACGCACTCACAGCAAGGGGCAAATCCTCAGACGGCTGCTGCCGCAAATGCGCTGAATGCTTTGACTCTTGCTGGAGGTCAGCATTCATACAGCACAAACAGCGCTCACATGCCTCCGAATGGCAGACTAGGTATGGACACTCGTACTCATTCGACGTCAAGAACACCCAGTCATTCGCATCACACTCTTCCCCCTTCGTTATGGATGTCTCGTCCTTCGCAAGGGTCAGCGAAACCAGCTTTTGCAGATGGTCCGCCACTGCCTCCAAGTTTTCCCGATCCATTTAGCGGCGTGGGCAATTCAACCGTCCCCTTCAGTCAAAATTTGGGGCATGGCGCAGCCGCTACATCGATGCTTTCAAATTCGGTTTTACGGTCATTGGATTCCAAGTCACCACAGCATGCCCCAGTTTCTTCACGATCTTCTCTTTCCCCATCCGTGGCGACGACAGGTGCAGGTTTCTCTTCAAGCTCTGCATCTTCATATACTCCCCCCTCTTTCTTGAGTGCAACTTCGATTGCAGGCGGGTCAACTATTGCAACATCCCCTTCGATGGTTTCTGAGCTTCTCGGTGACGATGTATTTGCAAAAAATAGAGCCTCCGGATCCCGGAGCAAGGACATGAATAATCGTCCGGGTGGTACTTCCATGGATCCAACAAGTTTGTTCGCATCTCCCAGTCGTTCCCCGCCCGCTTCTCCTTCCATAACTGTCTTTTCTCCTCCTTCAACTATACTCGAAAATGAGGAAGCGGAGAGCAGAGAAGCAGAAAGAATGGCAAGAGAAGACCCGCTCGCGACTCAAGTTTGGAAGATGTATGCGCGAACTAAGGCGGGGCTACCACACGCTCAGCGGATGGAAAATTTGGCCTGGAGGATGATGGCGCTTGCCCTTAGGAAGAAAGAGAAGGAACGACTTGCTGCGCTTGGGTCCACAGCCAATGTGGAGTCTGGTTCATTATGCATCTACTCCATACCCGAAGAATTCTTAGAACTTCACAAACCCAGCGCTGGTTCCGAGTTAGGTGATGATCCACATTTCGAGAATAGGGGTCGCCCACCGAAAGCCAAGATGAGAGTGGAGGGCTTTGGTGCTGGAAATGAGGACGAGGATACCAAGTGAGTGATTCGTGACCATTTTTCGGAGGGGATTCGGGATTGGTAATACCAAATCCTTCCAGCGACGCTTCAATGGACTGGCAGACACGATCTGTCTCGAGATCTCGCTCACGAATGTCCATGGATTGGCATGGGGACAGCAGTCGATCCCGTTCGCGCGCAGCGGCAATCAGAAGTGGGGTTGATCTCCCCGAGGCCCACGCCCATTCTTTGTTAGAAGAATACGACGAAGATCGCGAGGCTAAAGAGCCGAAGTTTGAACTACAATCGCTGGAAAACGACTTCCCTGCTCACCCGAAGCTTCATGGCAACTCAGTCACTACCCTGCAAAACCATCCCCCCTTATCGCCACGTTCATCCGCGCATTCTCTCCTTTCAATCCGTCTCCAAACAGGAGTACAAACGAACGCGGGGCGTGGCGAGCCCCTGCATAGCGAACCGGGTGCAATCGCGGATCCAGGAATGTTTGCATTCCCTTCTGCATTAACATCTGCACAGATCCAACTTCTTCCTGATCCATTCGGGAATACTTACCTAGGAGGTGCCGCATACCCTCCAGCACCTCCTACTCTTCCTTCATTTGTAGGCGTTCACACATCTGGAGCACCCACCTTTCATTCCCACTCTCATCCTGGCCCGGACGTTTATGCCCAGCCTTACCACGAACTAGATTTTATCCCCAATCTCGTGAGCCCGACCATTTTCTGAGCATCCACGCCGAGACTGACCCTTGATTTCAGGGAAGACGGATAACGCCTTTAGACCCCTCCTCCAGACCGGATTCCGCGTTCCATGGTCGATCACCCCCACCCTTCACTCTTTCCCCGGCCATTTCAGAAGACGTCAAGGGTAACATTACTAGTCCTGATCCCTCTTATCCCTCTCAAGCGGATTTCGATGCCAACTTCCAGAGACCTTCAGATATGTTGGACCTTTTTTCCGCAAGAGAATCAGGTCCACTTAAAGTGGAGGGGGGAGATGCAACAACATCGCAGTCCTCCCATGACATATCTCATCAAATGTCCCATAGCATGCCCTCGAATCCACGTTTCACAGCACTTGCCCAACCTACGATTGCTCACCCTCATTCCGAAGAGTCGCTATCTACCGGATCCGATCCCCACTTCTACGCGTTTGAGGGCGGAAATGAGTGCAAACCGGCGTCGGGAATGCTTTTTAATCCCAACGTGGAGAAATTTGTCAATCCTGCGCATATTGTGACTGGCAACGCGGATATTCCTAATGCGCAATATGCGCGGAGCCCGTCCAGCGAAGAACTGAGATCACCCGGTTCCACCGCATCCCCTGAACCACTCCCGGTGAATGGTTTTCCAACCCCAGGAAGTGCCGCATTCACGCAATCTCCCCGACGTCCCATCGCCCCCTCGAAAAGGGCCCCAGATAATAAGGGCAAGGCTAGAGGGACAGCTGGTTCTATTTCTCGCTTAATTCCTGGTGGAGCCTCCGCTGTTGGCACGCGGAGAGCTGATTCGACCTCAGGTATTGAAGCTCCTGGCCCCAGCTCTGGCCCAGGCAGCGCATCGAACGAGGAAGGGGAGAGTCCTCCCACAGTTTGCACCAATTGCGAGACTATGACCACGCCTTTATGGCGTCGAGACCAAGACGGCCAGCCTTTATGTGAGTGGAGTTGTTACCTGATATTCAAGCCGGGCATTTACAGTATCTTGACTAGGCAATGCTTGCGGTTTGTACTATGTAAGTCGTTCTCTTTTTTCTGATGGATCAACATTTTTACCTCTCTCCAGAAATTGCATGGCGTTGACCGACCGATATCCCTACGAACGGATCTTATAAAGAAGAGGTGAGTGTGAGGATTGTCCGGGGCTCGTTTGTTCGGCTAACGTGGCCCTTCTGCAGGAACCGGCCGCATGGCTCAGGGGCTCATGGAGCCGCCCCCCGCAAAGGCTCACTTCCAACCCAAACCTCGGCTACCAACAAATTGACCACATCCGTTACTAAACCCCGATCCTCAACCATCAGTTCATTATCTTCAATGCCGAGTGCTGGTCGTCCTATTGCCCCGTCAGGTACTCCTGACGCCAAGCGCCAGAGACGAGCGTCGGTCTCGACGTCTTTTGTCATTGATTCCCAACCCCCTATATAAATTTCCTTTATCCTCTTCTAACGTGAAACCGCCTTCCAGCATCATCCAACACTTATAGATTATTCTACTTGTCGTAGTTTCTTTTGGATCATTGTCGCGAGGTGTTCCACTTGTGCGTCCTTATTCTCATGTTGTACAATCGGATTGCAAAAGCCGCAAAACTACAATAGGATTCAATCCTAGCCAAGGCACTCTCGTGGCCTAACGGGTGGTTCTAAGGCAAATCATACAACGTAATGTTGCCTTATGTAATATTACTCCTTTGTTGGATGGGATCGGGCTAGGATCTGATTCGATCATCCGGAGTAGGATGGTATTATCACAAGGCCTTCATCTCTGCTCACTACCTCAATTACATAAGCCAAACTGGGTGGAGGTGCCAGAATCGCGCCCCTTTAGCCCTAATGAATCCATTAATAAATATATTGAAGCTAGACCATCTAAAGCCTAGCGACGTTTATATGAGAACCAGTGCACCAAGTCATCCTCAGATTCCTAACTGATTTGGCATGATTGACCACCACATCATAAGCGGGTCACGCGAGTGCTTGCTATTGGATTCTAAGAGAGGCACAAGGGCATCACCGCATTTTCCGACCAGAGTTTCCTCATCAAACCAAAGTCATGAGCCCGCGCCAAGGATTCTTCCGTAATGTCGAACAGATTTCAGCCTTGCAACAAGCCCGCATGATGTCACCTCCAGAAATACAGGTTGCAACCTCAAGTCTGATGCAGGCAAAATGAAAATGCAGAAGATCGCACGTTGTGCAAGAAGCAGTTGCAAAACACTGGCGAATTGAGCGACCATCTCCGCTGACAGTTAGTTTGGATCCGTGACATTTCCATTCCGACGGATTAATCCGAGGCAATTGACCTGAGGGGAAACGGGGACCAGTCAAGAGCCCTTCTATTGATTTGTGATGCCGGTGGTTAGTAAGTGAAGTCCGATTTGAACGTAGTGTCATTATCCGTGTCTCAGCCGATTCTCCGCCGAACTGCTTTTGACCCACAAGCAACCACGGTTCTGTCCTGGCTGATGAAGAACTACTAAATATTACACAGCGTCGCATACAGCGAGCCATCGTGTGGGGGGAAGACCCCGTTTCGGTGGGGAGTCGCGGCAGAGCCTAAATGAAACCAATGCGAACCATGGTCACATGCCTGAACGGCAAGGAAGTCGCCCGTATTCTGCGGCCAAAGCTTTGATGGTACTGTATACCCTCGCTTCCCATACATAATGGAGCCATTTGTGGGAAAATTGGGGCGTTAATTTCAGGCGCGTATGGACATTCGTGCATCGAATGGCCTTATAACTTGAATCAAATACCGCAATGGTCGACCTTCCGTTGGCTCCAGAGGCCAAAAATATCAAGGCTTCCATCGCATACCGTTGGTCCGACATCTAATGTTGGAAATTCGACGGCGGCTAACGTGGCATGCGCCACTAGAAACTCAAGAGGGTGTGGCTACATTTCTTTATCTTTCTTCATCCGCATTTCGTATCACTAGCTCTCTGATCTCACACTGTAGTGCGCGAAGAGTTCCCCTTTCGTTCTTCCACCTTCTTACATGAGACTGAAGCGAGAGGATAGGTGCTTCACTCGTGTTATGATCCCGCTAAAATATATGTGTTCTTCACATTGTAGTATTACGGCTAGTCATCTTAACAGCTGAGTCCTACAAGCTTGAAATGAATGAGCACCAAGCGGGCATGCTATGGTACCTAGTTGCATGTCGGAGGATTTGGACTATACTATAGGAGGGGATGCCGATTCGCCAGGTTATGGTCGCCGATCCGAAGATCTTCGGTGATGAGTTTTCCAGATTTCAGAAACAGCTAGGCACGAATTTCGGGTTGAGGGCGCATTTAGACCTGTCAACTTATTGTGTCAACTCATGACACGTGATGTGATCATCTTTAATATTGGATGTCCCCTTTTCCGTTCGGCCCTTGTACGCGCCACCACATTATCATCGTGCTTCTCTTAAGCGTACACGATGACGGAAGAAATGGGAAGATATTCCGATGCTGTCAAAAGCAAATTGGTCAAGAAGCTCGATGATGGAACGCATATTTATGAAGGAACTCTTTGTCATCCGTGGACTGTTGAAGCGTGAGTCAAACAATCAGACTTCAGCGAAAACCTTATCAACCGTGATGTCTCGTTACGCGACATCCAAGTGTGTCACATGGGGGTGAGTATTGCATTTCAACTCTGCCTGCTGTGACGTTTATTGAGCGCATTCCGTCTAAACAACAAGGCTACCTGATGGGCTGCATCATTCAAGCGGTCATAAGTTTCCAGTCCAATTCATCACCAAAGCAGCTCGATCCCATTCACATATCTTCACATTATCTTAATCCATCCCATCCTGGTCAGTTTGAAGTGCATGTTAGGCCTCATAGGCTTGGGCGTCGTTATTCCAACATCACTGCCGACTTGTTCCAGCAGGTAATTGCCTTTACCCATTAAATCATTCCACTTCCAACTTTAATTTTGTAGGGAAATATGTGTATCACGTCGCGCGTAATCGTTGGGACTCTACCTGATCCGTCGAAGATCCCTGAAGACCGTTCGATGCCGAGTCTGGCGTTACCCCACCCATTCGCCACTCGCATACCTTTCCGTTCGCATCCCGCTGCCGGAAATATCGATCAACTGCCTTCCAAATTGGTTTTCCGAGACTGCCTGAAATCAAGTTTTGATCATGCTGTCGCCGAAAGAACACTGGAAAAAATGAAGAACCCCGCTGACTCTGATGGGGGTCTTGATCACGCCCAGTGTAGGCAGCATACACATCACATCTAAATATCCTTCTGTTAATCCCCCATCATAGGGTATCAACTACTCGGCGAGAAGGATGGTGAGCGAGTAGGGCTTCCTGCCATCCCTTTCTTCGCCGATTTGTGTAGGAACACTCCTGGAATACTTCCCAAGGATATTGCTGCTCCAGACAGGTATGTCATCACCGCCACCTAGCCTGTCTCAAATCCTTACCCACAGCTTAATTCGAAGTTGGTTCCCAACGCTTGTGCTGAATCTTGAGTTTAAACTCAGCTTGTCCAGTCTCCCTGGTTATATTTCCCCTACAACCTTTGGAGTTTTCAGTGTCGGAAGATTTATTTGGCAAGGACGCCATGAGGTTTGTGGAACTGATTCTGATTGTTGTTGTTTTTACGACTCCCGCTTCCCCTAGGTTCGTTCTGAAGTCTGGACATCCCCGTCCGAGATTGGGACCGGAGGTCGAGTTGATCCTGATTGGAGAGAGAAGCAATTTTGCGTCGCTATCGCCACTCAGATGGCTCTTAGCATCCCAATCGAAGTGAACAAGCGGAAAGCAAAATCTAATTTATAACACTGCACCTTGCAATCGACTGCAGCGCATAGCACTGTTTAGAGCAGTAGATCAAAGCACCTCAACCAGCGCCTCGTTCTCGGCTACGCGATAACGATTACCCATTTGTGTGTGCGTGCCATGATGCTCGAATCAGCGTTGGGCGGTGCACTTGACGCTTCAGGGTTGTCCCTGGCTGTACACCCCCTACGCAATCAATAAGATTTATTTCTCGGCCCTCTGGGCTGCTAGGGCTCCCTGATTTTGTACACAGTCTACTCTGCTGGGCAAGTATGTGATGCCTGAAGCTTTTGCCAGTCTATGGCCCTTCTTTCACACGGAAGGATGTCCCAACATCCTAGACTGCGCAGAAATACTCTTGTGTGAAAAGCTGCTTCTCCAGGCTTTAGCCATCGGAGATTCGCCCGCCAGCTCTTCTTTCTTTCTAAGCCGCACTATGTTTTCAATTGTCGAGGGTTCACTGCTTTGGATCCGAATCACCCCAAATCGTAGGAAATTTCACGAGAGAATCTTCTGTCTAGCTTGAGTTCGGTTCGAGAACGCTTGTGGCTTCACGAGTCAATTGACACCCTACGATCGGTATACAACATCTCATGGAATTCACGCAGCTTTCGAGTTTCGTGCGAGTTACCGGGTTCAGTACCATGATCCCGGAATGAGATTCGTTCTAGTCACCTCTTCAAGGATAGTCACTTGGGTTGTTGTGTGCATGGAACGATCAGATTATTAATCGTCGCTATGCACTCGGCTTGTTCTCATCTCACTTGCCAGATGGGCACACGGAGGGAGCGGGGCTTCTGGGCTCCACCTAGGATTACCCCGCGGGGTAGCAACGAGTCACAAGGTGCTACAACCAGTCTAGGGAACTTTCTTGATATCTCCCCGCTGGGCGGATACTATCAGGGAAGAGGACCAATTCCCCCACAATAAGGTCTGGGGGAAATGTTTTCTGTTGGTGTTGAGAGTTTTCTGGTATGCATTCAGCTGACACCGACGCTACCTGATGGAGAAAATATTGCCAGTTTGTGGATTCACTCTTCGTCTGCGGGGTTCTCATCTCGGATCCAATGGGATCAATTTGACTGCGCATGTATTGCCATAGTTGGCTGGGACGGCGCTCGGCCAATCTCGGGCACTTGCTGTGCCACGTGTGGAGTCGTGCTTGAGGATGGGTCTGTTGGGTCACCAGTAATAGCGCTAAATTCAGACCTTGTTCGCCGGGTGCCCAACGCATTACCTCCCGTCGAACAGCGCCTGGATTTCGCCTTCAGCTACAATCACGATGAGCATTCCTTCTGCCCTTCTGGATCCAAATTCTCACGCGTTTGTTCCGCACGGGTGTACCATAGAGCTGGAATTGCCTACGTGAGGCCCCGGGGCTGTCCTTGGTTCTAATGCCTCAATGCTGTTAGCTTCGCCTTCGTTCCCACAGCTTGGCTCACGCGAGATTTTCTGTCACGACCAATGAAGCAGTCATCAGGCTGGAAAAATCGTGCTATTTCCGAGTCTCTGAGTAGTCAGTTCTTTGCTTCTTTCCAGCGAAGGCAGGTACTGCCCAGTATGTAATACCCAAATTCTTGTTCTCGCCGTTCAAAAGTCTGTTCTGACACTGGACCGCGCAGAATCCCTCTTCTACGGAATGCCATGTCTTCACGCACCCGCCACCGGAACAGAGATTTCCCCCGCTCGGTCTCTCTTTCTTTCAGAGTCGCGCCGTGTGATCATTCGTCTGGCGATCGCTGCTGTAACCCGGCATTGCGAATCATAAGAAGAATTTACGATAGGGTTTCCGCCTGGCCGGGGTACAGCCAATTGCTCTACAAGTTCATGAACTACCCACGGTCGGCATACATACCTCAGATAGTTCGTTGTTTCGTACGAGTCAACAACTGAAGTGTGATGATCCAAGAATTAGACCTGTCCTAATTACTGGTTAAAGGATAGTTTGAAACGACCGGATCAGATGGTTGTTACTATGCATGGAGCATGTTTTCATTCTTTTTTCTCTTGTCCGATGGGCATGCGATTTCCAGGGGAAACGGAACTTCCAGACTCCACCCCCAGTTTTAGTCCGTGGGGTAGCGGCGGATCAGCGGGGTACTCGTATCGATCCAGCAAAACTTTCACGATGTCCCCCTCTGGACAGGTATTACGAGGCGTGAGTATAGTCCGGTAGAATGTGCTACCTGCGTCTCTCTTGCTTTTTGTGGTGCTGTGCACAGGTTGCACTCTTGGGCAAACTTCAGCTGACGCTGACATGCTCTCGCGCCTCCGTCGCCGCGTTGCGCGTCATGCACGGGCTGCGCACTTTTAATAGATACCTCAGCCTCAGCCTCCGCTACCCTTCCACGGAAGTATATCGTCAATTTGTGAATTCTTGATTTGCTCTGCAGAAACAAACCATCCGGGCTCCATTGAACCCCAATGGATTAAATTTGCACTTATCATGATCACTGACACCTAGTAGCGATGTCCTTATGCAATTCCAAATGGTTGCTGTTTAACGAAGATGGGGGAACTTGCTTATTGATCTCTTTGATGCTCTCGCGTTGCATTGTGCAAGGGCAAGGCACATGACAAACATGAGGTCTTGAATAGAGAGAAGCCTAGAAGTGTCCCCAAGGTTCTAGGGGTAACTCGATGTGAAATCCCTCAAACCGAATTAATTCATATGCTCAGCTGCTCAGGATTATGTTCCGGAATACGGCTCCTGGATCTAGATACCTCCCTATTACTTTAGAGCAAGTTCTTCTAAGTACTGGTGGCGCTTTGGTCTGGCCAGCCATTTCTGCTCAGATCAGGGGGTCCTTGAGCGCTCAACCTGATTGGGGGTTCAGGGTGCTGTGCAATCATGCATGGCGAACGCGAAGAGGGTGCCCGCAAGCTTCGTCTTCTACCAGAAGCTTACCCAGAAGCGTGAGTTTTTTCCCTTCGTTCAATGTTAGTTATCCCTTGTTTCCGAGGGGCCGGGTCTGCGCTTCCGGGGGGAAAGGAGGATGTAGTGCAGCGGCGGATGTGAAAAGCATGTAGCGGAGGTAATCACCCATCATACTGCAAGCGAAGCCGCCCTCTTACGGCACAAGTACAAGTGCCCTGCTTTTTTTTCAACCCCCCCCTCTTCACTAGGTCAAGATGCAATTGATTGTACACGTTGTCCATTTTAGTCATGATGCAGGATATACCACCTGTAATACGATCGCCACAAATTGGCCTCCTCCCCCTTTTAATTCTTCGTAGTGTGAAATTAACGGGATTCTAACCGATTTGAAAAGCGAATTGGAGTGTATATATGTGTGTGCATACAAATTAAACGCCACCACCACCAAACGAAATGCAGCAAAGGCAAGCCAGCGGGGCCGCAATACTAGCTCCCCTTAGCTGGCTTTACGTACACCCATCACAGCAATCCATGCGTTTTGGTTTTGGTCGGTCATGGGTGCACGCGCGCGCGCGCGCATGGGACACAAAAAAAGAAAAAACGTTGCACTTGGAATATAGGTACATACATGCAATACGGTTTCTGTTGTTAATTACATACATAAAATGAAAAATGCAAAGTTGACTTCAAGCTAGGCAAAGTACATACCCCGTCGACTCCCCCGTGTTCCCCCTTAATTGCGCAAGGGTCTCATATCAAAAAACGCCGCAGGCTAGGCTCTGTCTAGATAGGGTTGCAGCTCAACGAGAAAAAAAAAGACACAATTTGAGCATCCATCCATTTGTTTGTCTTTGTTCCAATTTCGATTCGGGATACATACATAATCGACGTGGCGTTTATAGTAAAAAAAAAAAAAAAGAAAAGGACAAAGATAAAGCACGCACGCACGCATGTCAATTTGCTTTATTTTCTACAAAAGAAAAAAAAAGAGAGAGAGAGAGAATGAACGTCCGATGGAAACGAGTGTTACTGTTCTTGTTGTTGCTGTTGTTTGTTTGTTTGTTTGTTTTTTGGGAGGGGTTGGTTGTAAGCAGAGAGGGAGTCCGAAATGATAAAGAGAAAAACAAGCGGTTGAGCAGGTGAGAGATATCAAGATCGGAAGGGGGGGTTGGGGGTTGGGTAGGGAAACGAGAAGTAAAAGAAACAAGGTGGTGGAGAGAGCATAAGATAACCGAGACCAAAAACCTCCCCCTCCTCCCCTTCCCCTTCATCTTTTTTCCCTCTCCCTTCTTGGATGAGTGATGATGAGCACACCACGATATATGAGGAAGGTATAAAAAAAAAAGCCAGTCGATGATTTTTTTCACTGACACGAAAATAGGTCTGCGTGTCTGGTTGGTCAGTGTTCGGAATCGTTCGTGGATACGAAGGCGTGCAATTGAGAGTTGGGGGTTGGGGGGTTGGCCGGGAGGGGGGAGAGGGGGAGAGGGAATTGATATTGTATATATATATCCTTGTGATGATGATGGGTCGGGAGTGATTGACCGAGTGTGGCGATAGTGTAAGAGTGGGAGGATGATAACGGGGGTCGGGTTACGGGGGGTGGGGGAGGTAACGAAAAATGCGTGAACGGGCATAGAGTCGAGCCGACACTTGGGAGAAGACAAGTTCACGAGAGTCGAGTGGCGGGGGAGTAGGGGGGGGGGGGAGGTTGGCTGGTTCAAGTTGAACTTTGGGGGGATTTTTCACCCAAGGGAAAAAACCAGGAGAGAGATATCAGGTCCCATCCTCCTTTGGGTCACTGGTTGTTGCACGGCAAGCTGAGGAGGGAGGGGAGGGTACGTTGCGTTGGGGGGGGGATGTGTTGGATGGAGTTGAGGAAAGGAAGAAGTAATCCACATCTAAGAGCGGAATCACTACCACCAACTCCCCCCCTTCCCCCTTCCCCTATTCGTTTTGGTTCTTCTCCTTCTCACTCTTGACTATCTGACTGATCGAAGGGACGAGCAAACCGAAGGGGATGAATGGAGAAAAAAATATAGAGTATGATAAGACCGGGGGGGGGTAATGGACATACTATTGAGCATCGACGAAAAGAAAAAAAAAAGAAAAACATAAAATAATAAGAACAAATGTATAAAGCATGATTTGATTGTGTACATGAACAAAAAAGAATGAGTGAGCGGGGTTATAAGTTTGAGTCTCGTGTGTGCAGAGAAAAAGGGAAGCGGAACGAGGTTTGGATACGGCGGAATGATGATGATGATGATTATGAGTGAAAAAAAAGCAGGGCAACAGGCAAGGCAAGGAGTGGGCTCAAGGAACGAAATCAAAAGCGGAGTAGGCAGGATATGCAACAAGTGTGTGCGATGAGAGGAGGCAAAGAGACCAGGGGGACCACCAGAAAAGAATCAAAGGAGGGAGAAAAAAAAGAAGATTCTTCAAAGGAAGAAGCCCCACTCAATCCTTGCGACGAATACTGGACAACACCTTTGCAAGTGTCGCAATTTGACCCTTCTGTACCTTCTTCGGCACTCCACCCGACGAACTTTGACTCTGACTCTGACTTGAGCTCTGAGCCTGTTGCGTCTGTCCTTGTCGTTGCTGTTGTCCCACCGTCCCAGCACTGCTGCTACCGGCAGCGGTGGTAGCAGCGGTGGTAGACAACGTGGCGGCGGCGGAACTCTCACCCTCAGACTCGCTCCCACTCCCACTTCCACCTCCCGCCGATATACGCACCCCTCCCCTGCCCCCACCCCGTGCGCCACCACCAGACCATTTCTTCGGACGTTCAGAGATTGGATCAAGGTTAGAAGGCTGGGCTTTTCGACGTCGAACGTCACCCTCAGACTATTTGGAAGGTTCAAACTTAGCTAACCGAAGACAAAAGTAAAAACAAAAACAAAAACACGCACCTTCTTGCCGTTAGTCCGCTGTGGAGGTTCACCCAAGAGCCACGGAACACCTTGCAAAGCTAATTAACGGAAAAATTAATCAGACCCATCAATCATCGCCACTCCAACAAAACAAGAAACGAAAAACAGAAAAATAGACGATTAAAGACTCACGTTTAACGTTTCGAGGTAAAGGTCGTGTGACAACTGGTCTAGCCGGTACACTCACGGGCGTCGACCTAGGCTCCGGCAGCGGACCCACCTCAGCACTCTTCTTCCCCTTACCGCTCAATTTCTCAGCAACAACACTCGCACTACCATTACTGCTACCAGCACCCATCCCACCCAATACACCCACTCCGCCACCCAAACTGAACCCAGACGAAGCAGAGACAGTCGTAGCAAACGTCGACACTGATGCATTGCTGAACCTCGTAAACGTACTCGAGCCGGAACTCTTCATGCTTGTTCCCGCGGTGGAATAGATCGAAGATGCGTAATTCGAGTTGTGATGGGGAGAAGAGGAAGTAGAGGCCATGATGAACTGAGGAGTTTGAGGAGTTATAGGGGATTGTGACAGAGCCGTCATGGAAGAGCTGGAATGTGGTGGCGGAGGGTGATGCCGCCAATTGGGGGATGCGAATGAGGGGGATGGATTAGGAGCGGGCCCTCGACGAGCATCGGGTCTTTGTCGCCACAAGCTGCCCAACGGTTTATCGATGGTCTCAACAGCCTCAGTCGACGCATTCCTTACCCGCCAAGAATCAACCGAGGTAGACGACGAAGGCGAAGCAAGCGCAAAAATCATGTTTTCCACAACCTCAACGCTCGGATCCTTCTTGCCACCCTTCTTATTGACAGGAGGGCTAGCGAGGGCTGGGGACGAAGCGCTCGCGGGGGTATCCTTCCGGCCAAAGACGTTCCATTTGGAAGTTTTCTTCCGCAATGTTGGGACGGGTCGTGGGGAGGACTAGGCACAGACGCGGGTAGAGGAGGTAATGATGAAGTAATAGGAAGGGGAGTAGGAGTCGTGATAGGAGTGGGATTAGGCACAGGAAGCGCTGTGACAACGGATACCTGTTGCTGCTGTTTGTCACCTTCCTTGACAACAGTACGCGACCGAGGAGGCTGCTTCCGCGAGAGTCTTCTCGCGAGAATTTGTGCCTCATTGCGGAGATACTCAAGCTGATCCTCACTCGGAGAAGACGCGCTTTGGAGGGGGGATGTTGACAGAATAAAAGATGAAGGTGGCGGAAGGGTCGTAGGAGCCAAGAAAGGCGAAGAGACAGTTGAGGGGACTGTACTTGGAGTAACTGACGCCCCACGGTTCCTCCGTGCGCCACGTCTCCGCTGCCTAACACCCGACGACACACGCTGCGACGACGTCGAGTCTAACTCGGGCTCAGCCTCCATGTCCTGTTGCAAGAAGATTTGTTGCTGCGTAGCACCCGCATCCTCCTCTTCCGCAACACTTGCGGCATCAAAAGTCTCGTCATCAACTTGATCGTCTCGTGGACGGATAGTAACATCGCCTCCACCGTCATCTTCCTCCGCATAGTCGAATTGGTGTTGTGCATCTCGAAGAACATGATCCGAAGAACGAGGCTTCTCGAGGGCAGGCATCGAATCACCGGCAGTGGCCACGGCTGCACCCAAAGGACCAGCACCGAACATAGCGGGTAACCCCTTGACCCACTCGCCCAAATCACCAGCGCTCACTCGACCACCACGATCACCACTGTGACCGTCTACGCCCGGCTCCTCTAATCCTAACGCACCAGGACTGACCCAAAAGACTTTGTTCGCGAGAAATTCGGCAACGTGGCGCGTCATACCTGGACAACGTTGAAGAAGGAAAGGAACAGGTCTAGAGAGATACTCTTCGAAAGCAGGGTCTGAGAGGCAAGGGTCTTGCCAAAGATTGTGGTGATAGAGCCTGTAAAGAAAGAGACGTGAACACCGAAAGCGAACAAGAGAAGCCGAAAAGCCGATTCAGAGGGAAAAAAAAAACAGTAAGCAGTAACGCGCAGAGGGCAGAAAGTAATAAGGGAGATCACAGGGGAGAAAGCGGTTAAGAAAAAGGAGAGATCTTCAGTATTTGACCAACCCCCCCAAAAAAAAACATCGCCACAACCAGATCCGGCGCCCTAGGCCCACAAGCCGAGCGACATAAAGGAACGCACGCATGGAAGTACATATTAGCCATACACAACTCGGGGTGCCACCCACGCGCCAACGCTGACCCTGAAGCGCACGGGCAGGCCTCACGAGTATGCGAGAATTAAAATAGAATCAATAACAAAAGAAGAAAGGGAAGAGAGGAATCTCCACCATGAGGGTCCAAAGAAGGGAGGTAGAGACAGCATAGGGAGAGAGAGAGAGAGAGAAACGAAGAGGTTGTACGTACATGTTGATTAGCACGATTCCTAAACTCCACACGTCTAGAAATTAGAAATTTGCAAAGTATCACGGCAACGTCAGTTCTTTCAAATCCACACAACCACAGAGGAAGAAAAAAAAGGGGGAAAGTATAAAATGAAGGGAAAGAACAACAACCATGTGGTGACGAATGAATTGAGTCGCAAGCGTTAAACCACAAACTGGATTGCTCGCTTGGCTCATTCACTCACACTGAATGGCGCCCTTCAGTGTGTTCCACATGGTCCTCAAAAGCAAAAAAGGCACAAGGTCCCCCCATAAGGCTCCCATCGTCTCGTGATCCACATTTTGGGTTCCACCCCCCAAAGAAGATGTCTCGGCAAAATTGGGTTTGGATGTGCCGAGCCGTGAGCTCTAAATCCGACTCCGACGCGGATTTTTACTTTACCACCCATCATTTGGCTCTCATCCCACCGGCGTCGAAAATGAAGGAATGATGCGTCCCTGATCCCTCCGCCGGATGAGATATTGAAAAAAAAAAAAAACTGACACTTGGGAGGCGCAGACACACGGGGATGCACATCTGTGGCGAGGGAGCGTGCCGTCATGTCTTGGCGACAAAGTAACCCGCTCCCCTCCCCAAGCACACACGTGGAGACATCATTCCGATGTCCGAACACAGAAACTGTCATGCGACCCACAACCATGTGCACATGTACCCATGTGCAAGCAGGGAGGGGGTCTTGGCAAGACGATGACGTGCAATAACAGAGAAATGACCCAAAGAGTGATCACATACCAGCAGGTTGAGTAGTATACGTCGGTCCAACATTATTCCGACACTCTAAAAACAAATAAGAATGGATCAATCCCTTCACTGCGATCAACGACAACGACGACAACAACAACAACTCACCAAAGCTCATATAAGGCGCACTCCCACAATCAACATCAGCACTCTCCCTCTCAACCGTCGCCAATCCAAAGTCCGACAACTTCACCACCACTCGTTGTTCGTTCAACGACTCGGCAGCAGCAGCAGCAGCAGGCAACTGGGATGAGGTCGGTACAACGGCCTTGGTCACGATAAAGTTCTCAGGCTTGATGTCCCGGTGAGCGATCCCGCGCGAGTGGCATGCCTATACGTATGCATGTATCCAAATAAGAAATAAAAACCGTTTTGAGCACTTTGTGTGAACAAAGAAACAAGGCAAAAACAAACAAAAAAACTCACCTGAACGGCATCACACATCTGCTTAAACATACTCGCAACAAGTTTCAATCTCGCCTGACTAAACATCACACCGGGCCTCACGCTCGAAAGCAACGAAGGCGTCGGCGGCGTGTTCACCATCCCCGTCCCCATCTCATCACTATCACTATCACCATCACCACCCGCGTCCATACAGATCGGCACAGGAATACCACCATCGCCACTCACGCTCTTCTGACTCATACAGCCCAAATCCTCTCCAAGGGACAAACCAACAGAAGACAAAGGGGTCGACCCACCAGACGAATGCGACGACTCACATCCCGAGTGACAATTCGAGTTTGTGTTGGACTGCGAACGAGGAGATCCAGCAGCAGCGGTAACAGAGGAATGCCCATCCCTCGACTGTTCAAGGAAATAAAACAAATCCTCGCCTGGAACATACTCCAACACGAGTAACAAATACGAAGGCGTCTCGAGCGTTTGATGAAGCGTCACAATGTTCGGATGAGGTCCAATCGAGTGATGAATCTGGGCCTGTTACACGATAAACAACGACGATGAAAAAAAAAATTATGTTTGTCAGTATAATCACCACGAAACTAACACAGTGAAGAAAAAAAAAGAAATTCACCTCGTACATCTGCACTTCCAAATCAGCCGACGACAAATTCGCCCTACTCAAACACTTGATCGCAAACTCCCTCCCATACTTCCTCCCACTCTCACCACGCTTACACTCATTCTCATCAAACAAAAATACGTCCTCTCCACCATACGTCGGCGTCGGTGTCGTTGTCGTCTCCTCCTTCAACCCACTCACCACTTCCCTCACGAGAAACACGACGGCATAACTACCCGTTCCCAACTTCCTCACTACCTCAAACTTTGCTCCTCTAGGCGGACTCGTCATGCCACCGCTCCCATTACGACTACCGCTACCGTCCCCTACACACCCACTAACGCTCACGCACCTAATCACCTCCCCATTCAACTCACATCCTTCCCCAAGCACGTCCCCTTCTTGAAGCACACTCTCAATAAACGGTATCACCACATTCTCCCTTCCCCTTCCGCGTCCCCTTCTCCCTCCCCAACATCCAAACCCACCACACTCCCCTTCAAACTCCTCCTACTGACACTCCTACTAAAACTCCCCCGCCCACCAAACAAAATGCTTCCCCTCCTCCTTCCAGCTCCAGCCGCCCGACTAGAAGCAAGTCTCAGAGAAACTTGCCACGAGTTTCGTCGAGAACTAGCCGCACTACTCGGAGTCGTCATCACTCCCCCACCAGAAACCGCTACAACAGAAGGCATACGAGCAGGCGATCGAGGCGGAACAATAGGGGATAAAGTCCGAGGAGAATGAACATGTGACAAATGCGTCGGCGTCATCGGTACTGATCCTCCTCCTGACGCTGACGCTGATGGTGGTGGTGGCGCTGGCGGCTGTAGTGAGGACAGCTTGCGCGGCGGAAACGTAGGACTCGGAAGACCCATCGACGAAGAAGGCGTCATCGGAACGGAAGCCGGGTATTGAAAGATAGATGAGCGAGGTGAGGAATGATTGAAGCGTGGACTGTTCGTAGTTGAAGTAGGATTCGAAGCAGGGGTATTGGGAGTTGCGTAATTGTGAATATACGAGTGGGTATCGGTAGATGAAGGTGGTGGTAGAGGTGGTGGTGATGGCGAGATGGACGTTAAAAGCAATGAAGAGCTCGCTAGTTTACTCGGAGTAGCGGGATGGTAATCTGGGCAAGTCGCAGAGGAAGGAGTGGAAGGATGAGAAGTGGTGTAATATTGATGATGAGGGTAATGAAACGAGGCTGGAGTTTGCGGTTGAGAACGCGAAGGGGATGAAGACGAAGGTGAATGGAAAGGTAGAAGCATAGGAAGCACTGGTGGCGTTGCAGTACGGAGTTTAGGAGATGGACGAAATGAAGGAGAAGATGCTCTCGAATGAATCGAGTCGTATGTTGACAACGAGAGAAGAGGCGAGTCGCGAGGTGTCTAATGGTTCGTTTCGCGCGTATGCAGTGTGTGTAAGTGTGTGTCGTTATGCGGGGAGAGCGTTGATGTTTTTTTGTTTCGATTGGTCGGACATTCGGTTCAAGTTATTACGGCAAACCGCAAGAGTGCAAAAAGGGAAGAAAGTGATGGGGAAGGAGATCATACGCGGTTGCGGGGATGAGTATCAAATCAAAGGAGGTTGTTGACCGCCGGAGCGCATAAGAATTCCGTTGTTGAGTCACACACACACACAGGTCACAGCAACATTACCACATCGGGGTATGACAAGAAAACGGAATAGCAAGTCCCCCAAAAAACGTTTGGTTTGTTTTGGCGTTCGGTTAGTTTTATCGACATGTGGAGATCCCAATGGCGTGATTGAGCGAGCGAGCGGAAAAAGAAAAAAAGCCAACAACCGAGCGGAAAGCCAAAACGCCGCATGCCCATTGAAAATGGAAATCAATCATGTTAGGAAAGGTTGAGCGCTGTGGAACAAACAGCAGAGATAAGGAACTAAAACAACGCACCGGTCGCCATGAGAGATGAGCAGCAGCGGCAGAAGCAGCAGCAGTAGGGTTGGCAGCAGCGGCAACGGCAGCAGTAACAGGAGGACTGGCAGTTGCAGTGGTAGCAGAAGCAGGCATGAGGATAAATGAAACACCGTCCATTTTGAAAGAAAGCTAGTTGGGGGGGGGTAAGAAAATATAAAAGGCTCCCCCTGCCAGAAGGATAGGTAGCTAAGGGTTGAAAAAAAAAAAAAGCAGTAGGGTAAGGGTTGGGGTTGGGTTGAAATATTTCAAAAAAAAAAAAAAAAAATACTGCAGGTGGTAATTACTGAATCACTGAAATCACAAAGACGCAATTTGGGGGGTTGCGTCAGAGTTTGTTTGATTTGAAGCCTTTGCGCGTCGACGTGTTTGATGAGACTGTTGGAGGGGGCTGAAGAACGAAGGAGAGAGAGAGAGAGAAGGCGTAACACTATCTAACTAATAGACAGGGACGTTCCCAATCTCTGACCCCACACACACACGCACACACCAAACAACACAAAATAGCGTCAGGACGTTGTTCGCTTGCGGTTCGCAATGTGAGCGTGCAAGAACAAAAGTGGTGGGGAGGAGAGAAAAGTTTAAAATGGAGTTTGTTTGGTTTGGTATTTCGGACGGTTTCGTGATTGAGAGAGAAGGCCGAGAGAGAGAACCAACGTTGGCACAATGATTAAGAGAAGCGACCACCACCAGGAATAAAGAAAGCAAAACAAGCGGAGCGGGGGAGGAGGAGAGGGAGATGATATTAGTTTTGTCAAGGCGGGTTTTGGCAAAGAGCGAGCGTAGCAGTTGCGTGAGTGGAGGAAGAACTCTTTTAGGTTTAAGAATTGCTTAGCACAACACGCAACACCAGATAAACCGCCTTGAACAGATTCGACGACAGAGGAACGGGATTGATGATGATGGTGGTGGTGGTGGTGGTGGTGGTGGTGAAGAGAGAGAGAGAAAGGAAGGGGTTGACGGAATGGATGGAAGAGGGAAGGCTGATCTCGGTACATTCCGGGAGAATGTCAATAAGGGTGTGTAAAAAGTTGCACCGCGTGGTTGGTTTACTTATTGCTCCATTCGGAAAGTTACAGCATGGAGTGACCTCGCGCAGCTGTATATACTACTGCTAGACGCTATTCTTGGACTCTTCTCTATCTTAAAGATAAGGAGAGATCTTCCCGGGTCTTGGTTAGGGTTTGAATCATCGAGTTTGGGTCGCTCAAGGGCAAGGTGGGTACAAAACACGCAGCACACACACACACGTAGCACACACACACACACACACACACATGCACGCACAGCTCTATGACGAAGGACAGGAGCCAAGCTATTTACATATCCTTCTTCACCCTTTCCAAGTGTAACTGTAACAGCACAAGCTCCTTGCTGTATGTAACTAGCAGCACAGCATATGCATAAGTGACTGGCTATAATTAGGAGGAGCGTATCCAGCAACGAGGGGAAGCATCATTATGTACTCCACGGTCAATTAACGTCTCCAGATCAACGATAGACCCAAAGACCGGGACCAAGGGCGCGGGTGCAACTGGCCATGCGGGAGCCGCCTAAGCGTTCGAAATGAACCTTTGGGTTGACTTGGGATGACTGCCGTCATCGATCATCACGTGCGGATACGTGTCACAGGAGTAAAGTACTCAACATGATCGCGAACCCATTTGAGTTGTTGTATGTACCACATGGTTCACACCCACGTCGAACAAGGCTTAGGCCACGGAAGCATATACATACATAACCCATTCATTTTCTCATATCAAATAGGGAGGAGCAATTCAAATGAAGTTCCATTTGAATATCTGATGGAACATGCCAGAAAAAGGACCCCAAAATGGATTTCATTGAATAATGAATTCCGTTCCCGTCCATCCTGATAACTGTTCACGTACATACACTCCCTTCCGTCCGCCTCGCTTGGCTCCCCCCCCCCCCCCGCCAAACACACTCTCGATCACTTCTTCTCGCACCATTCTCGGGAACCTCGTACATCCTCCAAATCCCCCGACCATTCCCAGTATGTCCCCGCCCAATAACGAATCCACATCTATATCTGGCTAGTCATCACATACTTGACACCCAAATTTATCACTAGCACATGCAGCCAGATTGCTGTTCCACGCTTCACTCAATTCGTTGTCTCACCTAGGGGCGTCACACGATCACTCAATAAGTATATGCCAATATCCCACCGCACGTGCACAGCGCGGCCATGAACAACCCAATTATGTATTGCAACCGACTCTTTCGGGATTCGTACACATCGGATCCAGCTTAGATCCTTCCGGCCGAAGACTCCGGGACGGCCGTCGTGAACTCGGCACCCCCAGCTTGAGCTTATGTAAGTAAATTGGCCATGTTACACACACACACACACATATGTAACTGACATGAACAGCCATAATGATAACTGCTAGCTAGGCGGACGGAACGATCGGCCGATCATATCGATATTTCATCTGATCTGCGGCTGAGCTGGATGCTAGTACACCATGAGTCACAGCGCTAAGGGTGCATGCTCGAACCAAGACGCGACGTTCCGTGAATGCTTCCCCATAGAATGCAGACATATTGTGTCCGCCACACAACGGGGCTCGACGATTACCTCATACATATGGAGGCTTTGCATGAAGAGTCCCCTGCATAGCGGTACAATATCAAAACTCAATGCCTATTCCTGCGGAGACAACAACTGTATAGAATCGACCATCTCGCGCGCGCGCGCGCGCACACGCACGCATCAACGCGCCCGTGCGCCCAATGGCGAATCATTCCCCTCATTTGTCAAGTGGTTGCGTCACACGTAAACGGGAGTCCCGAAGCTGAAGCTTATACTATCTTACGATACTACTGTACTACAGTATGTAGCAGCCCGGTGGCTTGAATTGAAGAGCCACTGGCCTAAGCTGCTTCTTTTTTTGATCTGCACTAGTACATATACTAGCAGAAGGGTGTCTGTGACTCCTTAGATTTAGCCACCTTGGATTCAGTTACCGGATTCCACAATAATTCTATTCCACTGGAAGGGGTCAAGTATTGAACCCAGCACTGCACTTTTTGCGATGGAACGTTCGAATCAAGGTACAAGGTACAGAAGTTCAGTACCTGGCCTCGGTAGGAACTTCTGACCATGCAAGGGTCAGCTATCTTATGCAACCAGCAGCAGCTAGTCGCTGCTAATGGGGTTCCATAGATCATCGATGGTTCCATATCATCAGTTGTCGTGCTTTTCTTGGGTGACCGTTGGTCGGTACATCCTGCCATACAGTACTAAGCAGTACTACTGGCGGAAGGATAATAATATTATAAATCCTGGTCCGGATAACTACACTCACATACATACGTTGTTCCACACGGGAACGCGCGCCATGACCCTTAAATTCTTGGTAGTTAGCTCGATTCACCCCCAACAACATATTTCCCAGAACCCCAATAGCTCGCCTCGTCGCGCGTCGATACATGAGGAAGCTTAAACTGATCAATGCATTCGATCCCTGGGATCATCAAAAAAGAATTTCGATGTCGATATAGCTATATTATATGTATCCATGCATGAGGCATATGTAAACTCTCGGATTATATTAACCAATGGGTTGGGCCATCCATGCATGTATATATATGGACTATTATAGGCGTACCATGCGCTGCGCTGCGCACGCGCGCAAAAACAGCTCGAGCACTTTTCGCGCGCTTGGGTGGGGGGAGGGGCTGGAGCTTCGCGAATCGAAGAAACTGTACTGTACCAACGAACTTGAAGTACATAGTATTCCCGCCTAGTTCTAACTTCTTACAGTTATGCAGGTAACCCAACATTAACCCCCTCCTGACATTAATTCCTCCCAGGTCCAGAAACGTACCGCCCATGCAAAGGGTCAAAATTATGTACAGTACTTGCGCTGATCCATGCTCATTGATGAAGAAGTGTGCATGTGTGTGTGTTTTTCTTTGGCATGCATATATGTACAAATATATATCTACCCGCCACTCGCCGCGCACGAATGACATGACCACAAGATACACATTGCATGAGATATATACAACAGGCAATATAATATCATGGTATCATGCAGTATTCCATGTACTGCGTGCAAATCGACCCGTCCCCGGCCCCGCCGCCGCTGGGTCGTAGTAGTAGCAAGTTACCTCCGCGGATCCGGCGGTCATACATAACAAGTCATTTCAGTGGATACATGCATAACTGCTGTAGTATATATATATAGATCATCCGCACTTAATTTTGCTTGCCTGACCGGACAGAGGGATCAATACGATGTCAATTCGTCCTCTCCCAGGTAGTACTGTAGCTTCCCACGATCCGGGTAAGCGTAGATATTACTGCATATTACGATTGCACATGCATGTCAGTGATATACTAGCTGCGCCGGAAGTTTGAATCCATTCAAGTTATTCACCTCGCGCACGCGCGCGAGCCCCATGTGCGTGCCAGAATCAAAGCCCTTCTTACACGTGTATGCCAATAACTAAGTCATTGAGGTGATCTGTATATACTTTTTCCCGTTCCCCCCCCCTCCACTTGCGCCACATGCACACCTCACGGCCAGCCCCCAAAAGCTAGATGGGTATCTATCTATGGATCCCATCACGATCCATTCAACCACCAGGTTCACACCTCCATGCAAAACGAACCTCCAATTTGAAAGATCCAACGACCCGTCCTACAACCAAATGACTTCTTCTTCCACTCGCTTTCTTCTCTTCCTTTCTCGTCCATCCTCACCATCACCCCCTTCCCCTTCCCTATTCACACCCTCATCCTCCACCTCAATACCCTCAACGCCCTCCCCATCCTCACTTCCCTCGTCCTCCCCATCCTCATCCCCGCTCTCCCCCTCCCCCTCCCCCTTTACCACCCGATCCAAAATTTCACACCACCACTTCTCCATAACCTCCCTCTCAACGCTCCTCCTCCCAAATCCAGCACACAACGTCCTAATAACCTTGGTCGCTTCCTCCCCCAATTTCCCTTTTCTCAAAAGCCATTCCGCCCATACTTTACTCGCTCGTCTTTCCTGCCCTTTGATGATCCTCCACCGCTCAAAGATGAGTTCCAGGATAGGTTTAAGTTCGAGGTGGGGGTTCTTCGTAGGTGTCGTAGTGATAGCGATCGTTGAATTCGAATTCGAGTTTGTGCTTGCGTCTCGTCGTGATGTCGAGGAAGAAGAGGATACGTCGGCGAGCGACGCTTCAAAGGTGAATGCAGAGGGATAGAAAGTAGATGAGGGAAATTGTTTTGTCGTAAGGTGTCGTAAATCTGCCATTCGTTCGGAGGGCGTTAGACGTGGGTGGCGTCGTTGGATATAATGAAGCAAAAGGGAGGTATGGACTACCGTTAGCGAGTATGATTTCGATTCTCGTAAGAGTTCCTAGTATGTATGTATGCAGGCGTTTGACGGAAGACGTAAAGAAAAGGAGATAATCAGTCATCATCTAAGCAAAGTGAGAGAAACTCCACCTCAAACGGATCTTCATCTTCTCCAAACTCCAGATTCGAAATACCCCACATCCAAACTTTAACAGCATCCTCCCTCTCAACTCTCTCATCTTTCACCTTGCTCGCTCGAACAACGTTCCTTCCCTCCTTCCAAGCGTTCCTCACTTGTTCAACATCCACAACGGAACCGGACGGGAAAGCATCGAGAACAGCTTTCTCAATCTGTAACCGAACGAGCCATAAGCCAGGATGTGTCCATGCCTCATTTACCTCCGCTCTCTTAGAAGTAATTCCCTCTTCCCTGTCGTCTTCCTCGTTCTCGTTGCTGTTGGTGTGTCGATGAAGGAGTGGAAGCCCCTTTGATGAACGAGTATACTCCCGAGCACGCTTCAAGACTTTTGAAGCGTACTTTTTGAATGTCGGGGATGAAGGAGTGAAGAGAACCGGGTGGAGGGATAATTGGAGCGTCGTTCGGAGGAGAGTAGAAGTTCGGACGGCCGGAGAGACTTGAGAGACTAGAGATACCAACGAGAGGATGATGTATCGTTTCTAAGGTTGTTCGGAAAAGAAAAAAATGAAAATGAAAATGAATGGCGATGATTGTAGGTAGACACGCGAAGGGGTTGTGCGTATCCAACATCCGGAATTAGAAAGGTCGTAGTTAGGACTTGGGGGGGGGGACAAGGAAAGGAATGATCACTCACCAAATCATCTATCTTTAAATTCGCCACTCGATTCTCAACCCATCTCGCATACGCATCCATCATTTCGCGCCCTCGAGAATAATTCCCCGTTTCACATGCTTCCTCGTTTAACTTCTTTGCCCCACTAAGAAGTTCTTCATTCGCATTTCGAAGGCCATCCACGAATTCAGGCGTATTCGAGTCGATGGTGTCCAAGTGACGAGACGCGTACAAGACGAGCGCTTCGGGAGATGAAGGGTGTCGATCGATAAGTTGATCATAGAGCGTTTTGAGAAGTGGGGGACGAAGGGGTGTTGGATGTGATGTGATGAGAGCTTGAAGGTTGTGAAAGATCGACAGATTCTTGACATCTGTCAAAAATGTTCATGTCGGGTTGGAACGTCATCGTTTGGGAATAGAGCGTTGTATTAGAAAACAGAAAAAAAAAGACATTATATTTAACTTGGGCTGCACCTTTCATGGCTTGATCCATAACCGTCTTTACAATCCCACCATCAAGGATAACTTTAACCGATTCAGCACTTTCAGGTGCTGCTGCTTCCTCCCCCTCCTCCTCCTCCTGCTCTCGCTCCTCATGGACCTCTCGAAGAACTTCGGTATGGTTCATTTCCATCTTGACGTATTCCGTCCAGAGTTCCGTACTTTCTGGATTCAAACGGAGACCACGTTGGAGAAGCGTACGTGCAGCTGAATATGATCCTCTGCTGACTTCTTCAGAAGATGAAAGGATGAATAAAGCGGGGGATGTAGGATGTAGTTGCATAGCTCTGTGGCAAAAAAAAGAAAAAGAAAAATACGTTAATGATTATCAGGCCAACGAGGGGCACGCATAGTTGCAAGAAGGAACATTGACTAACCTTGCACATATCGATGTTACCCTCGTGTCTGCACGGAACCTCTTAGCAGCCTGAATGTACTGCACCCAGATCCCAAGATCACTCTGGAACTTCCGTATACCACGTTCAAAGATTTTATAAACTCTATAAGGTATACTTCCTTCTCTTTGTTGGGAGTCTAATTTGATTTCAATGTCTAAACAAAAAAGAGGAGGGGGGAGGATGATGATACATAGTCGCATCGTAAGAAAAACCGTGGCCCCAACAAGACGAGTACTTGGTAAATATAAACGCACTTTGTCGCTTGATACGTTTCTGTATCAACTCATTCAGGGTCATCTCATATTCTACGTACTTGAGATAGTCCGTTTTGCGTTGTATGGTTCCCAAAAGAGCTGCCTCGAACTTTTCACGACGTTTTACGATCATCTTTACTTCCTCCTAGTCAAAACAATCAGCCCAAGTAAGTCACAGACCCATAATCGATGCATTCTGGAAGAGGAGGGGGGCGAGGAAAAGAAACGGACCCTGCTTAAGACACCTTTCTCTATCCATAACTTAATTATAGGCAAAGTACGTTCTTGGTTCAAATGTGCAATATCCATGTTCTCGGGGAAGACAGAAAAATCAAAATTGAATTAAGTTCCAATGATGGCAATTCCCGTAAGCGCGCGCGCAAACGAAAAATTCATTTGCTCCCCTGCGGCTTTCATGATTATTGGCAAGTCCCGAGGAGAGTGCACCCAAAAAAAAAAATACTATAACCGCCGACTCAGTTTTTGCGATGGAGTGAATTGAGGGGAGGCGTTTGGTGTGCGAACGAAAGATGAATTTATATTCCTTGTAAGGCTAAGGTCAAAGCACCATATGGTCGAATAAAAAATATAGAGCTGTGGCCACTCCAACTTAAGGTTATAGTGGCCAAAGCCATTCCAAAGCGCCCGAAGTAACCGTTGAATTCCTAACAGAGTGAGTGAGTTCTCGGGCGAGTGTTTCAGATAGAATACCTTGCACGTTTCGATCGACGATGTTTTGACATTTTTCCGATGACTTTGTTTTTTTTGAGGGTCAACTCATATGTCGACTGACGCTCTTGAACGCTCGCATTGTGTTGAGAGTGTTGGCGTCCTTTCTGATCGTGGCTAACAACGCTTGTCTTGATTAGTTCAGTATTGATGCGAGACAGTAACCGCCCCCCCACCAATTATTTCTTATTTCTTAATTGACTGATCTGCTTTCTTTTTGCCGGTCAATTATCGCTGTTAACGCCTCGTCACATGAAGGCCTGGTTGCGCTGCGGGTTTTTTGGGCTCCCCCTCGGTTCTCCACTACGAAACTGAGTCCGTGCGCACAGTGCTTTCTTCCTTGCTTGCTATCTTGACCACGACGTTTGTAGACAATCCAAAGCCCTACGCTTATAGCCGGAAATTCTTTTGTTTTCTGGTTCTTCCTTTAGTTCACAGTACACGGTAAAACCAAGGTATGATCCTTTCCTTGTGAAAACATCTCGTTGAGACCTATATCTGTACCCCAGCACGATACAACTACTACCTCCTATACGGTCGGAACTGAGATGTGACAACTTCATCCAACATCCTTCCGTGATGTCCGAATTCACCACTTGGTACCCCATCAAGCATTTAGGCAATGACGGAAAAAACTATCAGACTTGGGCAATGAGGATGGAGCTCATCTTACAGGCGGAGGACCTATGGGATGTAGTAGACCCTTCCACTCAAGGCACTGCTAAGCCAACGGCCCAAGGCCAAGAGAGTCCAACTTATGACCTTAGACATGAAGGACAGTGAAGGAGAGAACGAAGGAAGGTCAGTTGGGAGGTTCAAACAAGACCACCACCAAGCTGTTCCCTGGTTCTTTAGTTAGGATGGGGAAGTGTACTAGTACTATTTGTTGTAATTATAGTACCAATCCAAGTGTTTTGGCTAATTCTATTTTATGGGTTAGTCTAAGAGTTTTTGAGAATTGACTTACAGATAAACAAAGCCCTGTGGAGCTGTTCCTCTATTGTAATTTCTCAATTTGTCTGGGTGTAATTCTGTGTAGGATTGTTTAATTTGGATTTTAACTTGAATTAAATCTTTTACTTGGTGAATTTTCAAAGATTCTACTCAGTTAATGGGTTTAGATCTCTGGGGTGTCCCTTGACCTTGTCTTATTTTTGATTGCTTGTTTTAACAGTAGCAAAATAACTGTTTTGTGTTTACACTTTGAAATCTGGAGTGTTAACCAGCTCTCCTGTTGAAATATTTACTTAATATTCCTCTCCCTAATTGCTGCCTTTTACTACAGTGGCAATCTTAACTGTATATCACTTTTTTGCACTGGAGTGACAACCAGAAATGCTTGAGAAAAATAATACTCTATTTTCTTACTTCTCTCAGGGGGGCGAAAAGTTGCAGAAAGGGTCTCCCTTTTATACTCCTTGGGTTGCCCTCCTTTTTCATGCTCTACCTCGTATTTACAGGATTTATTTACAGTGTATTTTCCTCAAACTGAATAAAAATGAATTTTTCATGCTATAGTTCTACTGCGCTCAGCTGTGCTGAACTGCAGCTCTACTGCGGTCAGACTGCACCTAGAATCCTTATTGTCCTTCCTCGCCTAAGCTATTTTAATGGTTTAATTAGAACTTGACTGTGCTGCATTTGTCGCAGTTTTCTATTTCAAATTCCTCATATTTACCATTAAGTTCGCTATGACTCAGTCATTCTGAATTCAAACTTCGCATTACTATGCGTATGGCTGCGCTGAGACCTTCAGCTGATTTATTCTATTTTTATCCAGTAACATTTAGTTGAAATGAGACTTGAAATGATAAATGAGTGAATTATTCAGGTTTAGAACTGAAAGAAAAAGTTGCTAGTAGTCAAGAATTGTTCAAACGAATGTGTTATAGCTCTCCACTTCATTAGTATTTCATTCCCTAAAATTCCCGCCATGGTCTGTCATAGTTTAGTGGTTTTCATGGATTTTGTCCATCTCCCCTGATTCCCCTTTGTATTATTGCATCCTAGTCCTTCATATGTATTGTTCATTGTTATAGTAGGTCGTCCTCAAAGATATCATATTTTTATGTATTTTATTTGGGGCTCTGGACCTCTAGAAGCTGTCTTCCCGCGTGTTTTCAGGTTTCCAACTTCATGTCCTTGTATCTCATTCATTTCTGAATGGTTTTTCACGTTTTTGATATCATAAATTTTCATTTATTCCCACCTGTTCAATGGTACCAAAGTTGTACTCTATCTCTCGGTATTTGTCAAGTTAGCAAAAGTTCGCATGCACATTCGGTAATCATGTGTGTTGTTCCTGTACTTGTTTGTATGCAGACGCCATTTCTGTTTAATTGTTCGGAGTTTATTGTATGTGCAGGTGTTTGTATCCTCAATATGGGCTCCCATGATTTATTTCAGATTTTCCCCTCATGTTCTAAGGTGTTTTTGTACTTTCCATGCTTTGTTTTGACTGGGGTCTTCCTTATTTGGACAGAAATTGGTCTTTGCGATCTGCTGGAGCACAGATCTCGGTTCTGACAGCCGGTTCCCTTCGCATCGCCACCCTCATGTGTCTTTAAGCATGATGCGGATTTCTATATTCCCATCGTTGGTGTAACTTCACAATGGCTGGACCGTTTGGGCTGAAACTTTGAATAACTATAGTTTCCTATTTATCATAATTTCCGTGTAAATTTCGTTGTGTGTTTTAAATATGGATCCTACGTGAATGTCGTCTTTTCCCTGAGCCATGACTTTGATGTCGCTCATCCCATTATTGAATATCTCATTGATGCGTGAACCTTTTATTATGAAAATTTGGGTGAATTAAGATTAGATCCCTTCCTTTCTAATGGGCTATCAAGCTCGTCTCGGTCGTTACTGCTTGTTCTTTGCACTTGCCTTTTAAACGTTGTCCTCGTTTTCCGAGAGTTTTGGTCATATCTCCATCGTTTATGGGTAGTTTTCCCTGTAATTACTTTCATTGAGTCCGTTTGGGAGACATCTACATTTTCTATTATAAACACGACTTTGAATTTTGCATTGGTTCCTAAGGAATCCTTGTTCCATGGTACTTCCATCCTCGGCTACATGTGCAGGCGTGGGAAGGTAGTTTCTGTGGAGGTTCTCTGGTTGGTTTTATAGTCAAATCTTGCCCGATTAACCTAGTTCTTTGTTTAATATTTGCTATAAATTCCCCCGAGCACTCTGTCTTGTTGGTGCTAAGCTTGAAGTATTTTTACTAATTTTCTTTCTTCCAATTTATTGTATGTAGTCATAATAATTTGTAAAAATTCATTAAAATTCGTTAAAATTCATTAAAATTTAGGTTCTTCTATTTTCTCATATCTACTTGTCGTATGGGGTTTTTGTGATTTATCTGGCATATTTCCATAATGAGTTTTCATAGGGTGACTGTTATCTCTCCTACAACGGTCACCATATTAACAAGTACATTGTCGAGTTCAATCGACACACATCACAGCTTCACAGTTACGGAGAAGCCATGCTCCACCATTTCTTCTATAATGGATTGCTGGAATGCATCAAAGATGACATTGCTAGGGTAGGGAAACCATCCACCCTTTCGGAACTTTGCACCTTATCACAGACCTTCGACACACACTATTGGGAGTGTAAAACCAAAGTAACTTGTCATGTGAAACCTTCCACCTCCAATGTCTTTGACAAGACCACTAATGCTTCCCACTCCGACACTGTTCCCTCCTCCTCTTTCAATCCCGCTTCTGGTAGCAAGCCTCCGAAGGACAACAAGAAGTCCGAGGCTAGCTCCGCTAAGCCGGACCTCTCATCAAAAACTCGGAGACAATGGCAAGCTCATGCCACAAGAGCATAAGCATCGTCTCAATGAGAAACTTTGCATGTTCTGCAGACAGTCTGGCCACATGGTCAAGGACTGCCCTAAGTCTTTTTCCCACACATCTAAGGCTTGCTCGGCCAAGACCAAGGTTCTGCTTCTGCAGAAGCAAAAAATTAGTCTGCACCCCCATGGACTCCACATGGACTGGGGGTTGTGATTCATCCCTCTGTGCACTCAAAGAAGTATGCCTAAATGCATCTTCCATTTCCAACTTGTCCTCCCTCCACATTCCCATTTCTTTTTCTCTTTCTGTCAGGGATGGCTCGAGGAAGGCAGAGGTGGTGGCGTAGCGCTCGGCGCTGGCGGCCCAGACGGCGGCGGGGCGGTGGGACCGTATAGTGGGCAGCCCTCACTCGGGCTTACGTCCCTGTGTGGCTTCTTAGGCTGAAGTGGGAAATGTATTGTTATTAGGGTGGGAAGCCAGACTAAACTAGGGTACTTGCCTGAAGCAGGAAATGAGAAGAAGGTTACTTCTTCGGTCCTGCTTCGGCTTAGTTTATATACATGTGTGAATGGGTCACGTGGAGGTGCCACGTCACCCTCGGACGAAGCCGGGTTACCGTGGGTGGCTCCGCGGTCGATCCTGAGTGTTGGAGGGGAAGTACAAGTAGGAGTGCGTGGCGCGTCCGGCGTTGCGGTGCCCCTACGGGGTGCTCAGCGTCAGACGCATCCGTGCTACAAGGGTAGGAAAGAAAGAGAGGTCGTCTGTATAAAGATAGAAAAAGAGAAGAAGGAAAGAAGAGAGAATGA